CTCTTCAGCTCAAGGCGAGCGCTCTACCACTTGAGCTACAGCGCCACTTCCGGTTTTCTGGTGGTTTATTGGAGATAAGAGTGTCACGGTCTCTCCTGCCCAGGCTGGCTTTGAACCGCGATCCTCAGATCTCAGCCTCCTGAGTAGCTAGGATTACAGGCGTGAGCCACCAGCGCCCGGCTTTGTATACATTTTTTTATAATATATATTTGTAACAGCTTTACAAATAAAGACAATGACTTCTTTTTTTTGGCCGGTTTTGGGGCTTGAACTCAGGGCCTGGGCACTTGTTCCTGAGCTCCTTTTGCTCAAGGCTAGCACTCTACCACTTGAGCCACAGCACTACCTCTGGCTTTTTCTGTGTATGTGGTTACTGAGGAATCGAATCCAGGGCTTCATGCATCCCAGGCAAGCACTCCACCACTAAGTCACATTCCCAGCCCAGCAATGTCTTTTTTTTTTTTTTTTTAAGCCAAATCGGTGTAATGCAAAAGTTGAAGTATCATTGTTTTGACAATTCATAATAGGTCCTTCAAAATTATGGGGAGTTTTACAGAGTAGAATCATTTATTTCACCTAGTGGCTCTTAGAATTGTTTGCTCTCTTTTGTGTTGTGTTTGTTGGTCTCGAAACATATGCCATTTGTACAAGGGCTTGTAATTCATTGATAAGAACTCAGTAACACTCCTTGAATGATGGTGCCCTGAAGTGACTTTTTTTTTAACCAAAAATAAAAACAGGAAAGTGAAATAGTTAAAACACGATAAGCAATTAAGCATAGTGCATTTTTGAAAAACTGGTGTAGAGCTGGCTGGGCAAATCTAAAAGAGACTAGAGCAAAAATAAAATTTCTTTGAAGGAGAGAGAATCCTATTTAGCAGTAAGGACACTTGATGAGCTGTTGGGCACAAGGATTTAGCCTGCAGAAAGGAGCTAGCATGGCTAAAGCTTAGTTAGGCCTTCAAGAGGCTTAGCTTGCTTAAAAGCTTTAGAATTTAAAACTGAGTCTAGCTATGCAAGAAAAGTAGCAACTTTTTTTGTTTTTATTTTGTTTTTTTTTCTGTCCCTGGAGCTTGAACTCAGCACCTAGGCATAGTCCCTGAGCTTTTGTGCTCAAGGTTAGTGCTCTAGCACTTTGAGCCACAGCTCCATTTCCAGCTTTTTGGGTGGTTAATTGGAGATACGTGTCTCATGGACTTCCCTGCCCTGGCTGGCTTTAAACTGCAATCTTCAGATCTGAGCTTCTGAGTAATTAGGATTATATTTGCACACTGCCATGCCTTGCTTGTCTTTGTTACTTTATGCAGAGCATGGAAGTCCCCTGTGTGTATGGACCAGCACTTCCAAGACAATCCCTGTCTGGTCTGCTACTGGGCACAATTCAGGTTCATTTAAATTGATGATTTGAAGCTTTGGTGTCATTTGACAAAATGGTGCCTGGGCCACAGTCTGGGGTTCTTATTATTCTGTTGATTTGTACTGGAGCCCGCTCTTGATGCTTTATCAGGTGATTTCTTGGTGCAGCAAATAAGGGGCAGGGGCCACTCATTACAGAGAGGAGGGTTTCTGGTCTTTACCTACCTCTGCTGTCCCCCTCAGATGGCACTGCCCACGCTGCCTTCTTACTGGTGCAGTCGGAGGCTCCTGAATCAGCAGGTCGTGCGCCAGCGCCAGCGAGAGCAGGAGGCCCAGCTTCGGCAGCAGTGGGAACAGAACAATCGTTATTTCAAGATGTCTGACGTCTGCAGCTCCAAACAGGCAGAATGGAGTTCCAAGACCTCCTACCAGCGGAGGCAAGTGTGGTGACTGCCTGTTGGATGGAAGGGGGGGCCACTTAGTGGTCAGGGGATGTGGCCTAGGGTGTGTTGAAGTAGTACATTCTCCTAGAAAAAGATAAAATGACAGAAGAGCACTGGTGAGAGCTAGAATCCTCCTCGTAAGTTTCTACCTCAAAGAACCATGATTCACAGTGGGCTTCCTCCCATTTATGTTTACGTATACAGAAACAAAAAAAACCAACTGGTTCTTTTGGCGTTAGTACATGGACTTGAACTCAAGCCCTAAGTGCTGTCCTTTAGCTTTTTCGCTCAAGGCTGGCATTCTCCCACTTGAATCACAGCTCTACTTTGGCTTTTTGCTGGTTAGAGATACGACTCTCACAGACTTACATGTATGAGCTGTCAGTTCCTGGCGAAAAAATACTGTTTTTATAGAAATACATGTACAGTCATGGAGGCCAGTACCATAATCTGAAAAGGTAGACAGACCTAGAAAGAAATCCTGGCACATGACTTGTGCATGCATAAGCCTCAGTGTCCTCATCAGTAAGGGCCAAACCCAGTCTACTTCATAGGACTTACGTGACAAGTAATACAAAACCTTCCTTGTATATCTGACCTGGCACAGAGTAATTGCCCAAACAACTAGCTACTACTGTCTGCACATGCATGTAAGCCTGTTGTTTTGTTTGCGAAAACAAGGTGTTCTAATATGCATTGTGTGTTGTGACATCCTCTCTTCACTCTGGCTGGGGACGCCAGTCACATCCCTGTTATGTCTGCCTCAGCCTTTTACCCACATGGAGGCGCATAGCTTGCATACCACTTGTGGCTGTAGTGTAAAGGATATTGTGGTGGGCTCCTTCTTACCCAGCATGCACGCCTACCAGCGGGAAAAGATGAAGGAGGAGAAGAGGAAGAGTCTGGAGGCCCGACGTGACAAACTCAGGCAGCTTATCCTGGAGGAGCAGGACCTGCTGGCCAGGGAGCTGGAGGAGCTGAGGCTGAGCATGAGCTTGCGGGAAAGAAGAATCCGGGAGCAGCACAGGAATCTAAAATCAGCTCGAGAGGAGCAAAGGAAACTGGTATGTGGCCTAGCACTCAGGAGACATCGCAGCCTTTCAGTGGTCATTCCTGTGGCTTCATCTCTGACTGCTCTGCTCTGAGCAGAGTGTGTTTTGTGTGACTCAGCTATCTTCTCTTCAATCTTGTGATCCACAAAGGCCTGGGATGGGCATGTTTTGTCTTCCAAAGCAGTTGTGTGAAAAGTGAGCCTCAGTCTGTTTATTATTAGAAGGGACCCACCTGTGTCATCAGTGTGGCCCCTTTCGTCACCACTTCAAGAGCCAGCTGTCAGTGTCGGCCAGTGTGCTCAGATGCTCTGCTCCCAGAGCTGTGAAGCTGTGGGTGCAAAACAAGCAGATGTGCACGGAGCGGGCAGCGATAACGCGCGGCCGGAGCAGCGCTGGGCCCGAGCTTCATCCAAACTGTGAATGGTTTTGGGAAGCCATAGCAAGCTTCCTTTCCTGTGTTTTCTTGACAGATTGCAGAGCAACTTCTGTATGAACACTGGAAAAAGAACAACTCAAAACTAAGAGAGGTAAAAAAAAAATCAAGAACCTGCCACTGATTTGCCTGAGTAGATGAAATCATGTTTGCAGATTTTTCATATGTGCCTTTGCTGTGCTAGACAAGAGGCTCCAGCCACCAGGCAGATCTGGTGGACATGGGCCTGAGCAGTTTATCAAATTCATAAGCATTCGTGAACATTGCTGCATGCCTACTGTGAGGGGGCACTCCCCTTGCTGGTAAGGAGCTCACTACCCACGGGGAGTCACTGGGCCCCTTGTTCCTGTGCAGGGTGCAGGGCTTTGGGCAGTGGTGTTGAGGAGGCATTCTATAGGAAAGGAAGAGTTTGGAAGGACTGGAGGTTTTAACTTGAGTGAGGTGACAGAAAGCTAGATGGGGTGGCTTTTCCAGTCATCCCATGCCGCTACGCACATGAGAACAGAGTAAGTCCTGGGAGCCCAGGACCGGCACCCTAAAAGATGAGGCTCAAGGCAGACAGGGCCAGATCTTGGATGACTCCGGTTTTTCTGGAAGCACCTGGACTGCCTTTCACAAAGGTACAGGGGACCCTGGCAGGAGTACTGAGGCTGCTGGAAGAAGTAATGCCAGTTGAGGGGATTGAGGGATAGGGAAGGCTTGAACTTGGGTAGCAGGAGACAGGAGGATGGATGTAAGAGGAGGCTGGCTTCTTGGCTTGGTGGCACCAACAGCAGAGACTGCTCTTACTAGAATCTTCATTTAGTTCAACTTAAGTGTTTGTACACATTGGTGCCGTTTATTCATAGTTATATTTAGAATGGTTGGTTACTCAGACATGGAGTATTGTGTGGTCATGCTCTCTCCCTGGCCACCTCTCAGCCTACGTGGCTCCTCTGAAGTTATTTATCCGGAGACATTTATTCAGATCATTCAAATTAGTTCACATTTGCTAGTTGGGAGAGGAATTTTTAAACTTTTTTTTTTTTTTGGCCAGTCCTGGGGCTTGAACTCAGGGCCTGGGCACTGTTCCTGAGCTTTTGCTCAAGTCTACCACTTGAGCTACAGCACTACTTCTGGCTTTTTCTGTTTATGTGGTACTGAGAAATCAAACCCAGGGCTGCATGCATGTTAGGCAGTAAGGCGCATTCCCAGTCCATTTGAAACTTTTTAAACAATTTTCCAAACCAAAGCTTTTGGATAGGGTTGTCATTGAGCTTGTGATTTAGAAGGTTCTCTGAGCCCGTATCTGTTACCCTAACCACAGACACGTTGCAGCTGCTGTAATGTCATTTGTCACCAAGAGCAACATTCGCAGCTGCTGCTCCAGAGGATAGTTCTGGAAGCCAACCTCAGGGGAAATTGGTGTCTAATCCAGCAGTTTCTCTGGATCAGGGGCCTGGCGCTTTACACCAATCAGAGGCACCTTTGAAACTGCATCTCCAGTTCAGTGTCTGCTGACACATGCTGCTCATCCCAGGGCACTGTTACTTAGTTCCGGCACGCAAGCTTGACTTTAAATTTCTTGTTGGCTCCCATTTAGACCGTAATTGTTGGAGCATCTCTGTATCTGTGGCCACTCTGGTTGGTGGCACGGAAGGTAGCATGCCTTCAGCGTGTCTCATGAACAGTATGTCTCAGTATGTCTTATAAACTGGTGAGGGAATCATTCTCCCTTCTCTTCCTGAGATTGAGTCGGACCTTCACAAGAAGCATGTGATAAGCTCTTGGGAAACACAGAAAGAAGAGAAGAAACAGGTTGGTTTGTGACTCTGGAACTGGTTCCACATAACTTTTAAGTTTGTCTTGTTTTGGGTGCGATGGGCGTCCAGCCCCTTTCTCAGTTTACTTGCCATGTGTTAAGTTGTGTGCTTGTTCACACACATCTGAAGATTCCAGGCCACCACTCCTCAGACACAGTGAGGCCAGGTGAGCAGGACTGGTAGATGGAACGTTTTTTGATGTATTTTATTTATTTATTTTTGGTTGGTCATGGGGCTTGAACTCTGGGCTTGGGCGCTGTCCCTGCACTCTTCAGCTCAAGGCGAGTGCTCTACCACTTGAGTCACAGGGCCACTTCCAGTTTTCTAGTGGTTTTTTATTGGAGATAAGAGTCTCACAGAGTTTCCTGCCCGGGCTGGCTTTGAACCGCGATCCTCAGATCTCAGCCTCCTGAGTAGCTAGAATTACAGGCGTGAGCCATCGGTGCCCCGCTTGTTTTTTATTTTTTTTAAAAATTGGTCTTGGGGCTTAAACTCAGGGCCTGGGTGCTGTCCCTGAGCTTTTTCTCTCAAGGCTAGCACTCTTACCACTTTGAGTCCAGTGCCATTTCCAGTTTTCTGGTGGTTAATTGGAGATGAGTCTCTCAGACTTTACTGCCTGGGCTGGCTACAAACTGCAATCCTCAGATCTCAGCCTCCTGAATAGCTAGGATTATAGGTGGAGCCACTGGTTCCTTGTTGGGGCATGTGTCTTTAAGGGCGTTTTTGGGCAGTGGCCTCAGCACTCAGCCTTGCTGTGGTGGCGGCTCTGGGGCAAGTGTCCACACCGTTGCTTTGCCTCCAGGTTCATTTTGCAAGGTGCTTGCTGACTCGTGGTGGGGGAGGAAGCCTGGGATTTCTGAATCCCTCCCTTTGCTCCTTGCTTGGGTTGCACAGATAGGGCAGAGCCCGTGAGGGCCCTGTGGCCTGCTCTGGCAGCAGGGAGTTGGGTCTCTGCTGGCTGCACTGAACTCCCAGGTTCACTTGGCCTCTTGTAGCAAGAAGCTGCAGAAGAGGAGGAAAACAAGCGGCATGAAAATGAATATGAAACAGCCCGAAGGGAAGCGCTGGAGCGGATGAAAGCGGAGGAGGAGAGGCGGCGGCGGGAGGATAAGCTGCAGGCCGAGGTGCTGCGCCAGCAGATGGACGAGCTGAAGCTGAAGGAGATGGAAGTGAGTGCTCCCAGCCGGGGCCTCTGCGCTGCGCATGGGGGTGAAGCTCATCTGGAGATCAGAGCCGGCCTGGCATCTCTCTTCTCTCCGTGTTCTCTCCCATGGTTCTCCCATTGTGCACCTACATTCTAGAACATGAACATTCTAGAAGTGATTCCTGACCTCTTAGATGGCCTGTGAGACCTTTTAAGAGGCTTCTCAGAAGAATGTGGATTTTCAGGTGCATCAAGCAGCCGGGAGAGTGGAGGGGGGGGGCGGTGGCGGCAGTGCACCACCCATGGGTCTCAGGACATAAACCACAAGAGTTCTGGGCCCAGTGGTCTGTCTGTTGGGAACTATGCTCAGTTTCCCTGGGATGGCTGGGTCTTCCTACTCAGATGAAGGGAGTCCCTTCCTTTCCTCTGACCTGCAGGTGCCATTTACTAGACAGTGCTTACCACTGAGTCTGCATGCTAGAGGTAGAGCTTGGGCAAGGTCCTCATTCCAGGTGGCACCATGGCTGCTGTGTCAGCAGAGGGAGACGGAGCTAAGTTAGAGCAAGTGTGGACCAGTGAAGGAAGTGCACAAGGCTGGGAGAGCTCTCACAGAAGGGGTTCAGCTGGGGTTGTACAACTAGGCTACGTAAACTGGGCCAAGGGGCTCAGGCCCCAGCAAAGTGGAAGGGGTCACGAGCAGCAGGGTGGCCAGGCTTGTGTGGTACCTGCCACAGTTGCGGGGAGTGGGGGAAGGCGGGACGGAAGGCCTGGTAGCCAGTCTCATTGGGTTGTGTGACCACAGGCCAGCAAACTGAAGAAGGAGCAAGAGAATCTGTTAAGGCAGCAGTGTGAGCTGGAGAGGCTGGAGGAGGAGAGAAGGCAGACGGCGTCCTTCCTGCGCAAGGCAGAGCTGGGGTGTGTGGGAGCCTCCGGGGGAGGACTTGGACCGGGTTCCTGAACTACAGGGGATATAGCCTGGAGTGGGCCATCGTCTCACTTTATTCACCTTTTAGGCGCTTTTTGAAACATCAGTATAATGCACAACTTAACAGACGTGCCCAGCAGATCCAAGAGGAACTGGTGAGTTTGAATCCCCCACTTTGGCAGCTATGTCACCCTCTTTGAAAAAAGTTATTTTCATTGCTTAGACGTGGATGCCTTCTCTTTTAAAAAAGAATAAAAACTGAATGCTGGGGAACTAGAGATGTAGGTCCAAGTTGTAAGATGAAGTCTAAAGATCTAAAGTACACATGGGGTTACAGATAACAGTGCTGGAGCTGGAGCTCAGTGGTGGAATATACTTAACATGGGGCTCTGGGCTCAATCCCCAGCCTCACATGCAAACTTTCTAAAACTAAGTAGTCTGTCTTTACCACAAATACAAGTGACTATGGCTAGGTATGGTAGTACATGCCTGTAATCCCAGCACTTGGGAGGTAGATGCAGGAGGATCGTTGAGTTTGAAGTCAGCCTTGGCTGCATCGGGAGACTGTCTCAAAAAGAAAATGTGACTATGAAGTGATAGTTAGCTTGACCGTCATAAAGCTGTACAGACACACACTGTACGTAGCAGGTCATTCTCCATCTGTGGGTTATGTCTGGTTTTCCGTTTATATTAAGGCTGAAGTGAGCCATTTGCACATATCTTTGTGTGGCTGCTAGATTGTGTGATAGGACGCGTCTGAGGTGGCAGGGCTCTCTCTCCTTCGGTCAGAAGCTCCCGGGCCTGTGCAGCCTCTGAGCCATACTTGCATGCTTCTCAGCCCAGCATCTATCTTTCTCCATCTTGAGAACACGGAGGAGCCCACATGTCTGTATGTGACTTGTTTGGGGGGTAAGGTGGGCAGGAACGGCACCACAGCTCTGACAGCCCACCCACTGGCCACCCCCCTGCCTGTAGGAGGCAGACAGGCGGATCCTGCAGGCACTACTGGAGAAGGAAGACGAGGCCCAGCGCGCGCAACTGGCCAAGCGGGAGCAGGCCCTGGCTGATGCGGCTTGGATGAAGCAGGTCATCGAGAAGCAGCTGCAGCTGGAGAGGGCAAGGGAGGAAGAGCTGCAGGTGCTGTTGAGGTGAGGTGGCTGCTGTCTGGGCAGGGCAGGGCATCCACTGTTGTGACTGAGGTATCTGCTGGAATAACTTACCTGCTCTTCTCTCACATCTTTGCTCCTGGATTGGCTTGTGGGGGTGTTTACCTTAGGTTATTTGGAGTTTGTGGCAATGATCCATTTATCGACCATCTTAGCAGCCTATAAGAATACAAATTAGGGAAATGGGTCTATAAAAATGAGTCTGGGGCCTAATTCTGTTTTGAGTTGGGAGTCTTGTTAAGTTGTCTAGGCTAGTCCCCAATTCCTGGGCTTAAGTGATCCTCCTGTCTCAGCCTCTCGAGTAGCTGGAACTGCAGGTCTGTGCCACTGGACCTAGCTTTGGGTATAAAAGGTAAACTATCTGGCTGAAATAATTAACCAATTGGCAAATGCGGTGTCTTGCAGTTCTCCCATTACTAGATACTGACCACCAAGCTCCTCCTGGAGATTCTAGGTCACTTGCTTGCTCAAGGGTGGGCTAGCAGTCACCCCAGTTGTATAGGGACAGACTCAGACACAGGCAGTGCCTCCCTAGGTCTTGATGGTTTCATTCAGTGTTAGACGGCTGTGCTGCAGGTTGGCACAAGTGCCTAAAAGGAGATGAGATACAAATAACTTCAAAATGCTTATAACAATGCTTTCTGTGAATGTTGTGCTTAATTGTAACTTTGAAGTCTATGTGGTGAGTTTACTTGATGCTTGGCTGATGTGTGCTGCTCAGACCATGTGTTCTGTGGCACCATCGCTGCCATTAGTGCTGGATGGAAAGTGTCATTGCTTTTTGTTTGCCAGGGAGGAAGCCAAGGAGATGTGGGAGAAGAGAGAGGCAGAGTGGGCTCGAGAGCGGATGGCGAGGGACAGACTGATGAGCGAGGTAACCCCAGCCGTGGGACGCTGCTAGCCATTGGTCCTGGGTGGATGGCTGGACTGACATTCCGATCCTGTCACATGTTCTGGAAACCATCTGTGTTGGTTATTTTGTGGGGTTTAAAAGCATTGTAGAGCTGGGCACTGGTGGCTCACGCCTGTAATCCTAGCTACTTAGGAGGCTGAGATCCGAGGATTGTGGTTTGAAGCTAGCCCAGGCAGGAAAGTCTGTGAGACTCTTATTGCCAATTAATCACAGAATAAGCTGGAAGTGGCACTGTTGCTCAAGGGCTAGAGTGTTAGACTGGAGCAAAAAAAGAGCCTAAGCCGGGCACCTGTGGCTCACACCTGTAATCCTAGCTACTCAGGAGGCTGAGATCTGAGGATCACGGTTTAAAGCCAGCCCGGGCAGGAAAGTCTGTGAGACTCTAATTTCCAATAAACCACTCGAAAACCAGAAGTGGTGCTGTGGCTCAAGCGGTAGAGAGCTCACCTTGAGCTGAAGAGCTCAGGGACAGCGCCAAGCCCAGAGTTCAAGCCCATAACAGACAGTGTCCAGGCCCAGAGGTCAAGTCCTAGGACCAGCAAAAACTAAAAGCATTATAGAAGTAATATAAACTCATTAGTAATTCAGGCATAATGATGTTCACATGAAAAAGTCGCCCAGAGCCCTGTCATCCACAGGCACTGCTCCTTCTACTGGGTCTATGCGTGCCGTCTTTCCTATGTAGCTTACACTGTGCTATTTGGTCTCAAGCATCCTCGTATGGTACTGCAAAGAACATCTGGTATGGGAGGGTCCTCCAGCACAGGATAACAACCAGAAATGGACCAGTGTGTGTGTGAAAGATACAGCCCAGCCCTGGGGGAACCTGCTGGAGAAAGTCTTGGTCATCCCTGCATTGAAAAGCGATTTTAAAGTGGTTTAGAAAGAGAAACTATTCTATATTTTGAAATTAGTGATTTCTTTTGTGAATACCAAACATTCCCCAGTGATTTTTGATTTTCTGATTTCCTTTTAAGTTTCCCATGTGGTGAGCAGGCTGTTGGGTGTGTCTGGTGGCTTCCTGAGTCCTGCTGGCTTCTAGACCAGTGATGGAATATTACAGTGCTCTGGGGCCAGGACCCAGACAGCAGGTTTCTGAGGCATGGAGCAAACAAGCTAGACTTCCTCTGTGTGGCTTGTGGGTTTTCCTTGTCTGAAGCCACTGGTAGAGTGAGTCTTGCCTTGTTCCATAAGGCTTCTCTGTCCTAGGGGAGGGCTCGGTCTCACACAGCCACATCTGTGTGGGAGAGGGTGGCAGATGTGGCCCACATGGGCTGGACTAGCCCTACGTGCCTGTGCGCTAAGGCTGCAGCCTGTCCAGGCTTATACTAAAAGGAGGACCTTCCCTTTCCTGTTGTTGAGGACAGGTTCTAACAGGAAGGCAACAACAAATACGAGAGAAAATTGAACAGAACCGGCGTGCACAGGAGGAGTCCCTAAAACACAGGGAACAGCTCATTCAGAGTCTAGAGGAGGCAAGGGAGTCGGCTCGGCGTGCGAAGGAGGAGAGTGAGGAACTAAAGTTGGCCAGGAAGCAGGAGCTGGAAGCCCAGGTAAAGCTGAGCTCAGAGGCAGAGATGGCTTCTGCAGGGAGACAAGGACCAGCAGGCAGCGGGCTTTTTTTTTTTTTTTTGTGGAACAGGGTTCAAAGGCCCCCAGCTCATTCCAGTGCCTGCTCATGGCTGAGTGCGGTGTATCCCTTTTAGATCCACTCCAGAGCCATGACTTGTGCTAGTCTATTGTTGACTTTTCCTGCCACCTGCCTCTGCCAGCAGCTGCTTTATATATTCATTTCAGAACCTGCTGTATAACAGAGAATGTTCTCCCAGGCACGGCCACATGCAGAACTGACAATGCCCACAGCCCCACTCCCATGGCCTTTTCCACTCTCCAGCTTCCCTTTCTGCTTGCTGGCACTTACCATCACTGTTCTTTATTGATCCTCCAGCCCAGTCAGGATCTAGTCGTCCTTGCTCAGAGACAGGATCTGCCCTGAGCTTCCTGTCTCAGGTGACTTTGTTCTTGATACCCAGGTTGCAGAGCGCCAGCTGCAGGCCTGGGAAGCAGAGCAGCAGGCCAAGGAGGAAGAGGAGGCGGCCAGGCAGGCAGAGCAGCTCTCCGATGCCTGGCTGCAGCAGGAGATGAAGACCATGACCCAGCAAGGCTACCGGCCCAAGGTAGGAGTCTGCAAGGTGCCAGGCACTGCAGTCCTGAGCTTGGCTCTGCTTTCCGTCAGTCCCAAGTTCTTCCTGCTTCTCTTCCCTTGGATGCAACCTGAAGCAGAGTTTGTTGCTGATCCTCAAGTAGTCTGACTGCTGAGCGGTGTGGTTGTCCACTGGTGCTGAGGACAAAGCACAATATAAGAGCAGTGGCCGCAGTGACATTGGGCCTAGGTCCTGATGGCTTACCTGCCTCTCATTGTCTCCCTTCTTTGCATCATTCTGTAATAGCTCTTAAGTATGAATGATCCCTGAGGAGGATACTGTGGGCAACACAGAGACAGAAAGAAAGGCTGTTACCCTGAAGCCCCTGGAGCTGACTGAAGGTCTCTGCTTGCCAGGGCCACCTGGGCTTCTGGTACTCTAAGTGTACCCTCACGACCTGTGCCACCCAGCAGGAGGGTTGGCTGCTTCTAGTCAGATAGCTAGGGAATGGAGGGGAGCAAGGTTAGAGTATCCTGATTTCCTGGGGAATTTTAATGCCCTAACGTGCAGAGGGCATTCCTTAGGAGTGCAGGGAAACAGCATTTCCACCTCCTGCCTCCACAGCACGGAATTAATGAGTACAGCAGGATCTGTGTTCACAGAACACACAGGAACATGTTTCTTTTTTGCCAATCCTGGGGCTTGAACTCAGGGCCTGGGGACTGTCCCTAAACTGCTTTTTGCTTAAGGCTAGTACTCTACTGCCTGAGCCACAGTGCTGTTTTCTGGCTTTTTCTGTTTATGTAGCACTGAGGAATGCTAGGCAAGCACTCTACCACTAAGCCACATTTCTAGCCCAGGAGCATGTTTCTCAGGGCAGGTGCTTCATCCAAGGCTAAGGGTCAAGGCTTTCTTAGCTATATACGAAAGCTGTCGTTCATGCTGTGTTTTTAGCTCTTAACTGAAGTGCGGGGTTAATTCCCAGTGTTCCAAAGCCTGCTCATCTCATTAATCTTATGCTTTCTTTCTTCAGCCTTATGGACATCCCAAAGTGGCGTGGAACTGAGCTCATTGGTGCTATCAGCACAGGGAAGGGCACCGAGTCTGTCAGTGCGCAGCTGCCAGGCAGCTGTACGGTGCTTGGTTCAGGTTGGGCTTCAGAGCACTGATGGGTAGTCCAGCCACACTTGCTCAGGTACATGAGGCCTGGCCAGACATCGTGGTGCTGGGGGTATGCCCCACCGAGATACTTCCTTGCTTTTCTCCTCCAAGACAGGTCTCAACAGGTTCACACAGCGCTGCGGAGTTAAGTCTTATGTTTATAATGTAAGATCCTAGAAGGATACTAAGAGCTACCTGCTGTTCTCCATGACAAGATAGGTTTCTTCTAACCCGTAACTGTCAACCATCAATGAAGACTGAAGACAAAGTTTTCTCTTTTTAAAATTGCCATTTACATTTAATTATTGCCTTGAAAACAGAGATCTTGGTGCAGTTTATGTTGAGGTTTACTAACTTAGTGGTCCCAAAGGAAGAAAAGTAGTATGAACTAATGACCCCTCCCCAACAGTGTGGTGGGCAGTCCCTGGATGCTTTGTTCAAAGGTGGCGAGAAGCAAGTCTGCCCTTCCTCAGGCAGTGTCTTGCCAGAATTTCTGTAGAAGGACTGTAGGGTGGGCGGGAGCTCAGTAGTAGAGTGCTTGCCTAGCAGATGCAAGGCTCAAAACCATAAGAAAAAATTTCCAGAGCCTCGTGCTCAAGGGTCCTCACCTGACCAACTAGGCAGGGGCAAGATACTAGGGAGCTCTAGGGTCTTGGGAGAATCCCTGCTGTATGCTGTCTACTGGGGGTTATATACGTAGAGGATCTGCCCACCTGCCTTCTGTTCCATCAGTGTGACACGGTTCTTAGTTCGTTGCTTCAAGCAGCTACAGCTCCTTGCAGCCATTGTTTTTATGATCTGTATCTTCCCATACTCTTTCTCTGAGGTTTCAATTTTCATTATGTTGTGCTCAAGTCTATCTCAGTAAATTACAGCTAATTATGGGCATTTTCCTGTGGTTACTAGAAACCAGGGTTTATTAAAAAGTCCTGTGTAAGGGCTGTATTACCTTTTTCCTATTGTGCTATAAAAACAAATTGTGTTGCAAACTGTGTCATGACTCAGTCTTTCCTTTTCCTGTCTTGAAGTTCTTGTGCTGGGACCCCTGAGCACCACTCTTCTCATGTCATGTATATTTCTGCATTTTGGATGTTCATTAATTGTGCAATAAAGTTCTGATCTGGTGGTATCACGTGTACTCTGTTACTGTTGCTGCAGTGTGGGTTGCCATAGGTAGCTTTTTACTGCGTTGTCCACATCTATAGGTCTGGGTTGTTTCCATGACTGCCACATAGTGAGTTACATTCATCTGGATCAAATGATGCCCCTTCCACTCATCTCCCCATAAGAAACAGAATTTATTAGCAGTCATACCCTGAACTCCAGTACAGAAGCCTGGCAGAAATCTTCCTTATTAGCATTAAAATTATGTCACTTTGTATCTCTATTATATCTAAACATAGCCTCCATACCTCTTGTTTTTTCAGACCAGGTCTCACTGGACCTGGAACTTTCTATGTAGCCCAGGCTGGCCGCCAGCTCAAGATCCCTCTGTCTTAGCCTCTTAAATTCTAGGAATGCAAATACATATCACCACACCTGGCCCACATTTCTTCTTAAAAGTTAACCAGAATAATTTCTGAATATAGAGCAATTACTTTCTTACTGTTCTTATTGGAACTCGCATACCTCTTGAATGTGGATTTTGTTTTGTAGTTAGACATACAGTCACTGTCCAATAACAGGGATGCTTTTCGAGCAATGTGTAATTGCAACATTCTGAAAACAGTTTACTTCAACATACTTAGATGTTATAGCTTATTTCATCCATATGCTATATGGTATATATCCTGGAATAAGTGGTCCTTCATTGACCAAGACATTACACAGTGCATAACTGTATGTTGGTTTTATTGTTTCTAAGTACATTTTTCTACTCAAATGGTTTCTAGATTTTCTTTTTCAGCAGATTCTCTAAAAGGTCAATTCACACAGCCAGCAACACCTCCTAAGGGGCTGGTGAGGCAGATTTTAGTATCTTAGCTTCCTGAAAAGAGCAACATGAGTGAAGGAGAAGGAAGACACCTGAGTCTCCACTCCCACCTGTACCTCTGCCAGGTTGTGGTGGTTGGTTCTTCACCCTCTTCTGGTTCCTGTTCTGTGCTCATTTTGGATGAATGGATGCTTGCTCATGTCTGAAGCACCTTGTGGTTGAGAGAACACCCCACGCTCTGAACTGCCCCAGCTCGACTTGGGCACTGGAGGCAGAGCCTCAGCTTCCTTATTTGCAAAGAGGGTAACTGGCTACAAGATGTATGGGCTGGCTGGAAGACAGGAATAGAGTAAAACAGCACAAGGCCTCATATGTGCACACAGCAAGACCAAGTTAGACTGCAAAAGGTCATTGTCTTGAAGGTGTTCTGGGAGAGAGAAGGGCTTACAGGACTGTGACAAATGGAAAAGGCAAAGTGAGCAGTAATCACCTGGGCTTTGGAGCTGAGAGGACCAGAGGGGAAGGGGAGGAGGAGTTCAAGGAAGGAAGGGCTAAGAGGGATTTTGGAGAGGAAGATGGCCTAAAGCCCTTGGGGAGATACTGCATTTTAGAAGGGAAATGGGGCTAAGTTTTGAGCAAGTTGAACCTGTGTTCAGGGACCTAGAAAGCAGGGACTAGTGTGGAGAAAAGTTGGGGGTTCACTGGGCACTGAAGCAGTGCTTCATACCCACCTCATCTCCAGGTAGCCCTTCCCTTTGGGACCTGCTTTCATGTGTACACATACCTGTAAAGAAGGTGGTATGATCTATAGTTTGGCTCCAGAATGGTTCGGGCTTCCAGCCGAGGTCTGCTGACAGAGGTGAGTAACCTTGGCATGTCGACCACAGGGACTGGCTTCTGGTTCTTGTGTGCTCAGCTCCCTCCTTAAGCAGTCAGCAAGCTGTCTCTATGGGAAGTGCCCTTGGTGAAGCCCACAGATGGACGCTGCTCTGGTGATTTGAGCCAGTGGGCAAAAGAGCCGAGCATCCTTTCAGTCAGACCCTCATTGGGCACTGGTTGGGTCCAGCTGCCAGGGACTCAAGGGGGAGCTAGATTCAGCACAAGAACCCCAGGCTTTGGGGCACAGGTTGACAGGGCTATGAAAGCTGTTTACACAGGAGCAGTTGCTCACCTGCCCCTGCAAGACTTGAGAGGGTCGTGGACTTTGAGGCCATTGTGATGCCACCTGCTATCATGGCAACCAGCTTCCTGACCTGAGGCCACTTTATCAGACAGCCTTTGTTATATGACTTCCTGATAGTGACTGAGACAAACTACAGCAACAGCAACTGAGACTCACCTTCCCTGAGTCAGGATGTCACGTCTTCATGTGTCTAATTCTTCACCTGTCAGATGGAAGTAAACAATTCTTCACAGGATCCTGTGTGCCTGGCACAGAGTAAATGATTATTTGATGTTTCAAAACCATGTTTAAAAGCAGAGTACAAAAGTACATGTGAGGTCCTTGACCTACAGCATTGGGTCCAGGAATAGTGGTGGGGAAGTTAGAAATGGTGGTTCCAGGCCCATCAGAGCTGTGAAGTCAGCAGCCCTGCAAGGATCCTTGGAAGCCCTGCCCAGGAGGCTGCCTTGGGGTAAACTGCTGGTTCTGGGCCCCAGACAAGCTGGACCACACAGGAAAGATGCTCTACTTTCTCCAGACTACTTGCTCAGAAAAGGCCCTGAGATTGTTGGGTCCTAACCCCACCCTTTCCATCTGGAAGAAGAGAGCCATCAGTCTCCAGAAGAAGACTGCTGGTGCTTGTGGGTGGCCCTGACAAGCCCAGATCCACACATCCATCTGTATAACGAGACCTCCTCTAAAAGTGAAAATAGACTCAAGGGCCTTAACAGATGGAACTAATTCTATGAGTTCCTTACTTGCTGGGAAAGGGGTAAGGACACATATACTGGACTGGCTTGGGATAGAGATCCAAGGCGAAAGCCTGGCGCTGGTGACTCACGCCTCTAATCCTAGCTACTCAAGAGGCTGAGATCTGAATATTGTGGTTCAAAGCCAGACCAGGCAGGAAAATCCATGAGACTCATCTCCAATTAGCCACCAGAAAACTGGAAATGGTGCTGTGGCTCAAGTGGTATAGTGCTCACCTTGAGCTGAAGAATTGAGGAACAGCACCCAGGCCCAGAGTTCAAGCCCCATGACCGACAAAAACAACCAAAAATCCCAAGGCAAAGAACTAGTATCCCAATGCAGGACTTCCTGCAATCCTAGCACTCTGGAGATGGAGGCAAGAATTCAAGGCTGGGGGAAGGGGGAGAAGTGCTGGGGGCGGGGGGCGAGGAGGGGGGGAGGTGGGAAGGGATTGTAAGGGGAAACAGAGGAGGCAACGATGCTTGCTCATGTAATTGTAACACCTCTGTATGGTATTTTCACAATTAAAAAAAGAATTCAAGGCCAACCTGGACTAACACAAAGTGAGACTCTGTCCAAAAAATCCCCCTACATGTCAAGCATAAAGGAATAGAAAACTGGGAGCTCCAAAGGAGAGGAAAGTTAGACACTATCTCATTAAAGATGGTGTGATACAGGCTGGAGATGTGGTTCAAGTGGTAGAACACCTGCTTACCAAGTACAAGGCCCTCAATTCAATCCCAGTACCTCCAGATAAAAAGGAAGAAAAAAGATGAGGTTATGTGAGAGTTCCTCCCACATTTCCACTCAGTACTGGAAACGTCTCTACCAGCTGGCAGGAGGCACATGACCACAATGACACTTACAGAGCCTGTTTATTGCATAACTAGGAGGCATAAATTCCAAAACGATTTTACAACACAAGGTACAATAGTTACAGGAATAGGATGTACAATAAAAATGAGAGATAAGTACAGAATAATGAGTGACACAGATAAACACGTTTGAATAAAAGGCATCTCATTTTTTCCTATGCAGCATTTTCTTTTGTAAGAACAAGGATTGCCTTCAACCAGGACAAGGAAGAAAAGAAAGACTGCTGTCAAAGATGAAAACATGCTAGTTCCGCTCTCAGTTCTGTGAGTGAAGCTGCTGACTTGTGCGTTTACAGTTCCAACTGCATAAATACTATACTTGATCTTTGGGCCCAATCCATTGTTCTTTGGCAAATTAGAACTATTTGTATTCCAAGATGGAAGATGATTTTGGGGAAAGGAGCGTGGGGCCCAGTGTCAGTTCATAAAGTGCACCTCTGTCCTATCAGCTTAGAGAGCAAGTCATGTGGCAGGGATGGAGAATCAAGAATAAAGTGTTTTAAAAAATCTCACAGAGGGCTGGGAAGGTGGCTCAGTGGTAGAGCGCTTGCCTTGCATGCCTGAGGCCCTGGGTTCAATTCCCAGCACCACATAAGCAAAAAGAAAAAAGCCGGAAGTGGTGCTGTGGCTCAAGTGGTAGAGCGCTAGCCTTGAGCTGAAGAGCTGAGGGACAGCGCCCAGGCCCAGAGTTCAGGCCCCACGACTGGACCCAAAAAAAAAAAAAAAATCTCACAGAATGTAGAGCTGGCTTGTACAAGGCTATGGAATCCCTGTGCAAGGGTGGCCAAGACAAATGTTCAGACAAGTTCTGAGCCCAGCCTCAGAATATGCTACAGAACTATGCAGGGCCCAAAGGACTTTCACCCCTCTTGCCACTGCTTGTCACTCCACATGGGAACTTCGGCCTGGGGTTTGGACTTGTGAGTTAACCAAGAAAACTGTATTCTCATGCTGGAAACTCTGTGATCCCTATGTGCTTTGACTTTTTCTCAGGGCACAATGACATACTGTAGCAGGTTCTAGTGTTCAGGAAAGACTGCTTTACCTTTTCCCAGAAGCCTCTTCCTCCCCTAGAGGCTAGGATTGCCACTGGGCTTTCCCCAGGAACCCCAAGGAGCCTGATAGAAAGGAAAGCAGGTTCATGAAGCATGCAGAAAAGGCTATCAGATAGTGCTTGAGCTTAAGGAAGGACACCCTTGTAGAAGGCGTCTTCTAGGAGTGATGCGGCACTTGGGGCTGTGAGGACAGGTAAGTGGACCAGACTTCAGGGGATATGGGACTTTCCCGCACTACCTCCCGTGTAGCCAAACTGGCAGGAGTATCCATACACCACAACTCAGTAAACTCCACACCACAGTTTGGTGCTACTTTCACAACAGCAGTTTGGTCAAGCTATAGGAGTGTTTACAAGTCAGTTTTGTGAAAAAAGGCTCATTTGCATACAGTGAGGTGACAAGTACTCCTCACTTTGACTTCTTCACAAAGACTAAAGTCTATGGTAAAGAGAGAGCTGACAGTAACTTCAGAGGAAGCCAGGCCCTGGTACTGACCAGCTTATGTAGGCCACAACAGAGGCTGTGAGGCCCACAGGCAAAGGCTTACCTGTGCCTGTTCTATGACCATATCCAGACTGGCTGCATTTCTAACTAAAAAGATAACACCAAAGATGTCCAGATTACTGCTGTCATTTGGGAAGAAAAAAAAAACAACCACAGAACAACAAAAAACAAAGCACTGGCAACCCCAGACCCATTTTTCTACCAACGAAAGGAGTGGGGGAGCTGCTGCACTGCTTTCTGTGCCTGTGCTATGTGTCGGGCTCACTTCATTTCCACACATTATCTGGTCAACCAGGTCAGGGACTGAGTTATAGCTATACAAAGCTACTGCAATAAGCAGGGACAGGAATGTGCCTAACATTCAGAACAAGAAAGGGCCTTTGGCTAAATTAAATAAGTCTGCACACAGTCAACCTCTGCTCTTTCACAGTTTACCTACCCCTAACCATTTTTTTTTTTCCTGCAGTGTTGGGGATGGAACCCACGGCTTTATGCATGCTACACACACACCATTAGGGCATTCCTAGCCCAGGAATTCTTGAAAGTTGATGTGTAATTCCTAAATACCAGAAGGGTATGGGAAGGAGCAGGGGGAAGAAAGAGGAGATAAAGTTAGATAAAGATAAACTCAGATGACTGTCTCTTACCTTGGAAGAGGTCCTTACAGATGAGGAGACAAGCAAAAAGCAGCTCACTTGAGGAAGCTGTAAGTGGTCAAAGGTGTTTGGATGAAAGGTACAATACAATGTCAGTTTATGGCAGTAGTATGTGAATGAATGGGTAGTAGAGATCTGCTATGGATAGACTGAAGGAATTGTCTGGTTTGGGGCAGACAGTGGGCAGAACCCTTGACAGTGGATAGATGGGTTGTGCTCCTGCCCTGAATACGGTCAAATGGGACATGATGTGACAAAAGCTTTACAGACTCTAGGGAAATTTCAGGAAAAGGGTAAAATATGAACAGATAGAAAAACCAAGATTTTTAAAAAAGTTAAATAATAGAACACTTAACATGATACAAAATGGAACAATTCCTTGTTTCCTCTCAAGAGGTTGTTATACTATTTTTAGAAAGTGGCAAAGTCCTTTCTCTACATACATGCTTGGAGATACCCCAAACTTAAAGAGATTTTGCAGTAGGTTGGAAAATTCACTTATTGCACGATGCTTGTTAGAGAAAAGATAATGTTTTTTTTTTTAAATCCAACTTTGTCAAGAAAATGTTTTAGTAAAAATCCCACTTATAGTTTTACACATACACTGGAAGTTTTAAGGGATGGAAAAGTTTAACAAACTCTGAGTGATGGAACTATTTCTGAATGTATATGCTCATGATCTCAACACTTGCTGACAATAGAACTCCAGGAACTTAACTGGAAAACAGGCACAAAATAAGGCAAGTGGGTTAAATTAATAGTTGAAAATTTGTTAGAAAACATGCAAAAATAATACTGAGTTTTCTCTTAAAAAGTTTTCTTAAATTGTCATTAAATGCTTGTTCTTGTAAAAATCTGAAGAGTTCCATGTTGAAATTTGAAGTCAGACTTAAAAAAGCCTAGAAAATAGAAGGGACAGCACCCCGGTGTTCAGTTGTTGTTCTCTTTGGTGGTGATGGTGACCAGCTGTTTGGCCGCCTTGGCAATGTCGTATGCACACTGGATGACCTGCTGGGTGACCAGCTGCACGTCTGTGGGTGAGCCAGATTCCCCTGGGAGGGCCTTCTTGCACTCTGACTGGAGCCGGTAGGCACTGGATGTCAGTAAACGAAGGGAAGTCCTCACCGTGTCAGATTTGGGTTTCTAAACAGAAAAACACAGTCATTTACCATAGTCTGCAGGGTAGACATCTGGCAGCAAGGGAAGCCTACTCCTGAAAATAACTCAAGCTGTTCCTTACAAAGAGGCAATTTTGTGGTACACACTTTTTTTCAGGGGAGAAGGGGGCTTGAACTCAGGGCCTGGGCACTGTCCTTGAGCTCTTCTGCTCAAGACCAGCACTCTACCACTTGAGCCACAGCGCCACTTCCAGTTTTCTGGTGGTTAATTAGAGACTCATGGACTTTCCTGACCAGACTGGCTTTGAACCACCATCCTCAGATCTCAACCTCCAGAGTAGCTAGTATTACAGGCGTAAGCCACCAGTGCCTGGCTGCACTCTTTCAATAGAGATGTTTTAAAGACTGCTAGCTTGGTAGCCCACAGTATGAGAGATGAAGAAATAAGCTGACTCAAAGGCTAAAGTATATTCTGGTAACCACTACTGCATGCTATTTTGAGCAAGCTTTTAAAAACTAACTTTGTAGATGACATATTCCAAGTCATTTTTTTTTACTCTATTCATGCTTTCTTTGCCTTTTAGTATTTGACTGGTACATCCTTATTTTAATCAATATTCATGTAGAATAACGCTCTAAAAAGGACTATTTACATATTAAAAACCTATGTACTACAGAAAGGTTAATATCAAAGATCATAAAAACATTTCTTGCAGTTTTCTTAAAGGCTCTAGAGTGAGCGAGTGAGTAGGAAGCAACTTACTTTGGGGAACAAGACTGCCATTTCTGTAACAGCGCCATGTATCCTCTCAGAGCAGGGAGTATAGCTGCAAAGTATCAGAGAGATCACTCAAAGACAGAATGATGTGGAGGCAGAGTTCTCAGGGACTGCCACACATTCCTCTTACGTTGCTTTATTGTACAGGAATGTATGAAGTCCAGGATGCTGAGGCAGGGACCTGACTGCGTGGTGTCCCACACCTACAGAAGGTACACATTTCAAAGCAAGGTCCTCAACCTTTCATGGAAGTTCCTTCAACCTGATAAAACAGTCGCCAAAGATGAAATGTGGCAGTTTACAGCATTAGCCAGGTGAAGCCACAAAATGGTCCATAAAGGCATTAATACCTTAAGTTGGTCATTTATTTCTCACATTTCATCTTCCTAATTTCTAGAAATAGAAAAAAAAATAGCCAAGGACTTCAATGCCAAAGACCACAAACATGAAAAAAAGACTAAAGAAATTTTTCTCTTGTAAGTGGAGCCTACCTTCAATACTCATGTGCTATTTAACCAATGGCCACTTGTAAATTCCTTTCTTTCAAAGATATCTAACTTGCTAGGGATGAAAATCGTTACCTCCTGGAAAGGGAGAACATTGAGGTCTGCTTCACATATTTGTGACACTTATCTATGGTCCCCAAGAGCGCCATCAGCATATATTGACAAGCTCTAAAAAACTGACTGGCCTCATGCTTCCTTCCACACAGCCTGGTCCTCCCGGGACCAGACCCCCTGTAACATCCCCACAGCCTTGTGAGGTCGGATCACTCTCATACTCACTTTTTTTCAAATAAGAAAACTGAAACTCAGAGAGGATAAAATGCCCTAAACATGCAGAAGTGAGAAAATGGCTGAGCTCTAGCCTGGTGACATCGCTGGCGCCTGGCTCCTGACAGCAGTGATGCGCCAGGCTCACATCTCCCTTTATAGCCAGCCTCTTTCTACTCATGCCTGGTGATCTGACTTGTGCTGAGAAAGGAACTGAGATTTTACTTTCATCTGCCAAGCAGCAGATGGGGCTAATTTTCTGTACCTTCAAGATCTAGGCTTTAGTACAACATGAAGTTGTAAATGAGAGCATCTCGGATGTACAAGTAACCAGAGATTTTTAACACAACTTGAACAATTTATAGATCAATTCTGGTTTTAAATAAAGTGTAAATTATTAAAACCTGAATTCCATAGTCACAAATTGAACCAAGCACTATGACCTTAGGGGAAATATACATATATTTCAGAGTGGATACAATGTATGCTAAGCACCTTTTTAGTTTGAAACAGCAGCACAGCAATTCTGAAACTGTGGACAATCAAAAGAAAAACACACTGTGAAGTGGGGAGTACTTGAGAAGGAGTCATTGATGGCCCGACATCACTTTAACACAGTCCTATCTACACTGCAGAAAGCTGTGAACAGTGAGTGACACTGTGCCTGGGTGAGTAACTGTTTTCTCAGACCCAATGGGACAATGTTTTTTTTCCAGTGTGTCCAGATCCACTGTGGAAAGCTAGAATGCCATGCAGATCAGTTCACAACTTAGCAGAATTCTTGGAGAACAAAAGGATCCATCAGAGCAGGGGTCAGTCCTTCCTTATGGGAAGGTAGGGAGCCTTCCAAATCTTCATGTCCACACCATACCCAAGGGAACCAGACAGGAAGAATAAAGTTCCTTTCACGACTCAGTCGGTCTCAGCAACCCATCCCTAGCTGAGGGCAACCCTTGAGAATTAGGGTTATTGCTGTCCTCAATACACAGAGTATTGCTTCTCTAGATTTATTGTCTAGATGTATTTCTAGATGCACCTATTTTCTGAGCTTCATAAAATGAAAACAATAAAAATACCATGTAAAAAATCCAAACAAGGGGCTGGGTAGGTGGCTCAGTGGTAGTGCTTGCCTTGCATGCATGAGGCTCTGGGTTCAATTCCTCAGTACCACACAAGCAGAAAAAGTGGCACTGTGGCTCAAGTGGTAGAATGTTAGTCTTGAGCTGAAGAGCTGAGGGACAGTGCCCAGGCCCAAAGTTCAGGGCCCATACTGACAAAAAAAAAAATCCAAACAAATAAAAGCAAGCTTACATATTTGTTAAGTTTTCATGTGCCTCAAAGCCAGCAAACTGAAAGTGATCCCCATTCAGAACTTGAGCAGCACCCCTTTTGAAGCAGAAATGCACCTCTCCCGGGCCAGGACTATAGCCCCTCACCTGTCATGCTTGTTTTCCTGGGCTGCTCTTAGGAGCTCCTGTATGTTTTTGGTGATCTGCTCAGTTTTCCGGATGACATCTTCAGTGCTGGGGAGCATGGGGCTTATATGGGGTTCTGCCAAGTCTGGCACTGAGCAATCACCTGGCCATACCATGCTCCGTTGCCTTCCTTTCCGGCTTGACCTGTGAACGGTAAAGAGGTGTGCCTCAGTTTTAAGGTGCTCATCTTTTCCATTGGCTAAATGAATAGGCCATTTTTATTGTTTATCTTGTCTAGCAGCAAGCTCAAAAGGCCCTACTTCACCAACTAGCAGCTACAGCTCACTTGCATAGGACAAAGAGGGGAAAATGGAGAACAAGTAGAGCAGGGAGGGTATGTTATTATATAATAAATTCATCTGCAGTTGAGCCCTTTTGGGGGAGGGGATCAATGTACAATGTAAACTGATGTCAGCAATGCAGTATTCTGGGCAATGGTGGCTCACACCAGTAATCCTACTCAGGAGGCTGAGATTTGAAGACTGAGGTTCAAAGCCAGTGGAGGCAGGAAATTCCATGGGACTCTGATCTCCAATTAACCAGCAAAAAGCAGAAGTGAAAGTGTAGCTCAGTGGTAGAACACTAGCCTTGAGCAAAAAAGCTCAGGAACAGCAACCATGCCTTGAGTTCAAGCCCCAATACTGGCACAAAACAAACAATGCAGTACTGTCTTTTGAGTACACTAGGTATCTAGAGACAGTTCTAGTATGCCAATAAAAGGACACAAAGGCCAGGCGCTCATGCCTGTAATCCTAGCTATGCAGGAGGCTGAGATCTGAGGACTGCAGTTTAAAGCCAGCCCCGGAAGGAATTCATGAAACTCTTATCTCCAATAACCACCAGAAAACTGGAAGTGGGGCTGTGGTTCAAGTGGTAGAGCTCTAGCCTTAAGCTGAAGAGCTGAGCGACAGTTCCCAGGCCCAAAATTCAAGCCAACAACAACAATAACAACAAAAGGACACAAAGCCTCTGTGGCAATAATGAACAGTGAAAGGACCTAAACTATAAATATACATTTGAGTAGTCTGAAAATAGGGACAAAGGGTATGGGTGGCCAAGGCCTGGCAGGTGTCTGGCACTCCACAGCCTGTTCTCAAGCACACTTTCCCTGCTATACCCCATGTCATCTGGCTCCATGTCATTGGGAGTGTTGTCATAGTCACTTTCAGGTGTGCTGTTCTGCTTCTCCAGCCTGGAAGCCTACAAGAAAGAGAAGGGACCCCCGTGAGTTTAGAACATGAGACACTTCAGAATTGTCCCAGAGCAGCATTCCCTGTGAGGCTACATGACCTTTATACCCAGAGTTCACTTGGAAACCCTTTTCACTCTTAGATCAGAGGTTAATCTATCAACAGATCCTCGGTACAAACTAATAAACTGACACGGGCATGCAAGGCTGTCTCCTTTAGTTCTGAAAGGAATATAGAGTTTATAACACAATGAGATGCAGTTAATAAGCAAACACACTAGTACTTAGCTGACCACAGACCTTCAGAGATCAAAGCTACCTGCAGATAATCTGGATTATCCCCAGGTAAGAAAGGAAGGACCACAAAAACTGGCTGGCCATGGAAGACACAAAGCCAGCGGAATAAGAACCTATTCAGACTTTAATATTCAGTGCCCAAGGCCAGGGCTCAGGTGACTGCCTCTATTATCTACCTACCTACCTACCTACCTACCTACCTACCTACCTACCTACCTACCTACCTACCTACCTATCTCTATCTATCTATCTATCTATCTATCTATCTATCTATCTATCTAATCACCTACCTACCTACCTACCTACCTACCTATCTATCTATCTATCTATCTATCTATCTATCTATCTATCTATCTATCTATCTATCTATCTATCTATCAATCTATCTATCAATCTATCTATCTATCAATCTATCTATCTATCTATCAATCTATCTATCTATCTATCAATCTATCTAATCTATCTAATCTATCTAATCTATCTATCTATCTAATCTATCTATCTATCTATCTAATCTATCTATCTAATCTATCTAATCTATCTATCTAATCTATCTATCTAATCTATCTATCTAATCTATCTATATCTATCTATCTAATCTATCTATATCTATCTATCTATATCTATATCTATATCTATCTATCTATCTATCTATATCTATATCTATATCTATCTATCTAATCTATCTATCTATCTATCTATCTATCTAATCTATCTATCTATGTCATCTGGGCATGGGCACTGTCCCTCAGCTCTTCAGCTCAAGACTAGAGCTCTACCACTTGAGCCTCAGTGCCACTTTCGGCTTTTTCTGTGTACGTGGTGCTGAGGAATGGAACCCAGGGCCTCATGCATGCTAGGCAAGCACTCTACCACTGAGCCACCTTCCCAGACCTACTGCCACTATTTAAAACACAAAGAACATGTGTAGAGACAGTTTTGGGGAGGTATCAAGACAACTGGCACTTGGGTTATAGTGTTTGTAAGCCAGAATGGATGATCCTATTATACTTGAGTATAACTCACTTTTATCTGTGTCCAAAAATACCCCTTAAAACAGTGTTCAAAACAACTGTACAGGTTCAAAAATGGGATATAGATTTAAAGGCAACATTTTAAAAATGTTTTGGACAAATGATAGCACTACTACCAATGAAATGTGAAAGGGAACACATTTTGCTGAAGGGAACTGTTCAGTGAAAACTCTTTTCCCTCAGCATTCATTTTAGCTATGTTTGAGCTTGTTTTCAACTAGAAAAGAAACTGGTATAATCTGACTCAAAACTTAAAAGTGATTACCTTGCAAAGTACAAGTATGAGCTACTTTTCAGCTCTATACCTTAAATTTAATCCCAGTTAATCAAAATGTGCAAAGATAGAACTTTACAGACATCATAGTAAAACAGAGCTAAGGCTCTATGAGAGAAGAGCTTTGTTCAAGCACTTGGAAAAACAAGGGGTCTCATCCAGAGGCCATTGGAGGAACTCAGTTTCAGAAAGTCTACAGATATAGAAGGTCTGACTTTTTGTTCTTAAGTGATAATGCATTCTGGCCTTCTCAAAATCCTATGGGTACTGGCCAGCCCCAGCCCCAGCCCACATTCTACTTCCTCTTCCTATCATCTCTCTTTTCCTCCCAGGGCAGAGACTCATTCTTTCTGCTGAGGCTTTTCATGTATCCTGGAGATGTTCTACTTAATTGCCACTCACATAATAGAGGACACACTAAAATTTAATGTGAATTCTCTAACTGCTCAAATTTACCCGGCAAAAGATTAAAAGTTTTGTCTTAAGAGACAGATGAGGAGTTTACAAAGCTAAATTCTGTAACCAGTTCTACTTCACTAGTTGCCTGATTTTGATCTGGCTTTATAGGTGAGTCAGGGGGCTGCTAGCTATTGAAGCTTGAATGAAAGAGCACAAGGTCACACGTCCATGGTCCATCATGTTCAGTACAGGGATGGTGAGACGAGGGTCTTCTGGACATAGTCTCAGACCCCTAACCCCAAACCCTCTTACCTTTCAAATTTATTTTAAAATTGCACTTAAATAAACTGTAAAAGTGACTCAGAGCTGTTCCCGCAGGAGGGAATCTAGAAAATAGAATTAACTGCCCTCAAATTCCACCTTTTTTTTTTTTTTTTGGTCTGTTTTTGGTGCCAATCCTGGGGAGTGAACTCAGGGGCCTGGATGCTGTCCCTGAGCTTCTTTCGCTCACAGCAAGTGGCTCTACCACTTGAGCCACAGTTCTACTTCAGGCTTTTTGGTAGTTAGAGCTAAGAGTCTCATGAACTTTCCTGTCCAGGCTGGCTTCAAACCATGATCCTCAGATCTCAGCCTTCTGAGTAGCTAGGATTACAGATGTGTGCCAGCAGCAGCTGTGGGTTTTTTTTTGTTTTTGGCTGTTGTGGGGCTTGAACTCTGGGCCTGGACGCTGTCCTTGAGCTCTTCAGCTCAAGGCTAGCACTCTACACTTGAGCCACAGAGCCACTTCCAGTTTTTTGAGTGGTGTATTGGAGAAAAGAATGTCACAGACTTTCCTGCCCAGGCTGGCTTTGAACCTCAATCCTCCTATCTCAACCTCCTGAGGAGCTAGGATTATAAGCATGAGCCACTGGTGCCCTACTTTTTTGTTTTTAAGACCAAAGACTGAAGTCAGGGCCTTGAGAGGCAAGTGCTCTTCCACTGCGTTAAATCTCCAACCCCATTGTTTGGAGTTTTTGAGGCAAGGTGTTACTATATATAGTCTAGACTGGCCTTCAACTAGTAAATATTTAAGCCTCAGCCTCATGAAGTTCCCAATTTTTATAGTGGATATTTTTACTTTCCTTGATAGAGATTTGATAATTGCAGATGAAACACATTATTCACAATGATTAAAAGTACCAAATTTCATTTAAACATTTTAAAAGAGTAACAACTTGTGTACCAACTGAAAGTACTCAGGAAATATTCCTCAAGCACAGAAAACAACTGCCCAGGAAATTAGTTACTTACATGCGAAGTCTTTCATAGTTGTCAACAAATGCATTCAGGATTTCAGTGTAGCCAGCATTGAGTTTTATGAAAATTATTGTGAACATGCAGAGCCAGGAGCTACTGGTTAAAAGTACTGCTCTCTCAAAGCTGTTAATGGAAAAGTTACCTCATAGGCTGGTGCTGGTTCGGTTTATTTAATAAATTTGCAGTTTGTTTTGAATACAAGACATGCCATAAAAATCTGAACCTGTGATGAAGATGTCAGGAACAACACAACTGATCTGTTTAAATGACTGTTTTTGTTTCTATGTAAAGTCATCTCAGCAAACAGGCCTGGCAAGATTTTTCTCCTATATCGGGGTTTGAACTTTTTTGAAATTACCAAAAAATAAAAATAAATTTAAATACCACAAAATTTCAGTGGACAAAGGTTTGTTCAACTTTCATTAACAAAATTTCAAATGAGATACTTTGTTAGTATTTTTCTGTCTTTTTGGGTTTTTTGGTGCCAATACCAGGGCTAGCATTCTATCACTTGAGCCATACCTCCAGTCTAGTTCTTTAGCTGGTGAATTGGAGACAGAGTCTCAAATTCAGACTTCTTTGCTCAAGCTGGCAGAGAAGAGCTGGCTTTGAACAGTGATCCTCTGATCTTAGACTCCTGAAAACCTATGGTTAGAGGTGTAAGCCATTGGCGCCTAGCTATAGTTCAGTTCCAAGGCTATGAGGACTACTACATCAAGATTTTTTGTTGTTGTTGTTGGTCATGGGGGCTTGAACTCTGGGCTTGGGCGCTATCCCTGCACTCTTCAGCTCAAGGTGAGCGCTCTACCACTTGAGCCATAGCACCACTTCTGTTTTCTGGTGGTTAATTGGAGATAAGAGTCTCACAGACTTTTCTGCCCCAGCTGGCTTTGAACTGTAATCCTCAGATCTCAGTCTCCTCAGTGGCTAGGATTACAGGTATGAGCCACCGGGGCCTGGCCAAGATTTTTTTTTTTCAGTACTGGATTTTGATCTTGGGATCTTATGCTTCTAGCATGGTTGTTGTGCTGGTTGTTTTTGAGACAGAGTAAGGCACGCACCTGGTCCCTGATGCACGTATTTTAAGTTTCCTGGTCATAGCTGATAGCTGTAGATAACTATAATGTGCCATCATACCCAGTTCTCAGTTGAGAAAGGGTCTGGTGAACTTTTCTACTTGGGCTGGCCTCAAATCTCAACCCTCCCAATCTCTGGCTCCCAAGTAGCCAGGATTACAGATGTAAGCTACCCCAGTACCTGGCTAAAAATTATTTTCAATAGACTACTTCAAAGTACAGTTAGGTATCTCCAAAGGGTCTTGTCACATGCCATTGGCAATGGATCACTGCTAGGTGTGGAGGGAATGGCCAAAAGTACAGTGCAAATCCCACCTTGTCTGTAAAGGTGGCCCCAGCCACCTTCCCTCCTCTCTGCCTTAACTTCCCATCATTAAATAAACACCTTATGCTGGCACCTGAATGCAAGTCTTCAAAGCTTGGTCTCTTTCTATAGCTTTCCCAGGTGAATACGTGCAGACATGTTCTCTTTGTGCATGAAAGCATTCTAAAAAACAAAATCCAACTACCTTTATGAAGAGGGACTGTGCCACTTAAGTCCTTAGGACCCTTCATAGGACTTAGTAAAGGTAGGCAGGAGAAGCTGCTTAATAAGCTTGTGAAACTTCCTCCTCTCAAGAGGCTTAGTGGGGTCACATACCCAGCAGGCCCCAGCAGGCCAGGTCTACCCAATCAATCCAAGTCAAGTCATCACAGCTGCCAGCACTCTTTCACTATGGTTAAGTGTGCCAATTCCGGTTCCGGAGTTTAGCTGCTAGCAGTTAAAAAAAATTTTTTTTTAAGTTTGTTTTTTTTTTGTGCGGGTCATGGGGCTTGATCTCAGCCTCCTCAGTAGCTAGGATTATAGGCATGAGCCACCAGCACCTGGCAAAAAGTATGTTTTTGTGTTAGCCCAAATATAACAATATTAATGTTAACTCTAGCTCTGAATAAATTGGACAGATATTCCCTATGACAAGTATGTAACCAGCAGCCAGCTAATTTTTTGATTAAGACATTATGCTCAGAATTAATGGTATGAGATGATTTACAACCTTTTGTTAAATATGTGAAAATCAGCAGTGTGGGGTTAGAGGTGATGCTGTCTCTCTACACGTATGCGTGCGTGTGTGCATGAGTGCGTGCCCGCTGTGCTGTGAGAAACCAGGAGGGAAGCTCTGCCTCATGCAGGACAGAGGGCAGTTAGCAAGGGACAGGGACAGGAGGGTCAGCACCCAAGCACAAAGCGCCCAGGAGCTCTGCCCCTCCTCCAGAGCAGACCATTCAGAGTGTACTTAACCCTTCGGGCGCTCTCATCCCTCGACCAGGAAAGTGTGGAGGGGAAGGAAGGCAGAGACGAAGAGGAGGTCACAAGCGCACTCCTCCCAATCTAGAAGGGGAAAGAGAAACAGGCTCGGGAAAATACAAAACCAACAAACCCCTGAACACCTACCCTGGCTGCAGGAAAAGAACCCAAGGAAACAACATACTACAACTCGGGAAGCCATGATGTCAGACAACACAGGCTTTGAGGTGTTTAATCCCTTGGGGAAACACCTCTGGGGAAATTGTTCTCAATTTAACAGGTTTACCTTTCTTCAAAGGAAACAGTAGCACCTAGCACCTTCCTTACAATCACTGGTATTTTTTTTTTTAATGGATAGCCTAAATTGCTATTTCTTTTTTCAACCAGGACCAATATGAAACAAGAAACCACACAAGGGATTACAAATTGGCATAGGCTATCACTCTAATCTTTAGTAGGTGACAGAACTTTTGAAATGACATCCTTATATTCTCAATGTTTATGAAATAGAGTGTGGAGCTAAGCAAAGTGGCTTTTCCTAAATTGCTTTCAGTTATACCAAAGAAAGGTAATTTTCACTTAGTTCAAAGGCTCTCACTACACTAAATGTATCAAAAAACAATTGCCTTCCAAGCTAAACCCCAACAATCTCAAGAGCTCAAACTATGCAATCCCAGTTACATACAACAGTATTATAATTCCACTACTCTTAAGTCTGACAAAATTAAGCTAGGCTTAATTTACTAGATCATATTCTTTACTCTGCATTTACTCTGATAATTTTTGAAATGCATACAATAGCTGTTGACACTCAAAAGGATATTACTCTGAAGAAAGCATTTACAAAGTTTAAAATTTCTGTAACATTTTGCCAATATACATTTTTATAATAAATTCATCCTGAAGAAATATGATTTGAAAACATCAGAACATGACACTCATTGTAAAATAAGATGGTTGAGACTTTGCTTCAGAATGGTTTTTGGAGTTTCACACTTGAAAGGTGGATCCAGAGCCCTTATACCTCATCGTTATGAGATGACGAAGCCACACTTCCTCCAGGAAGAGCAGGCCAAGGATGTGGAGCCTAACCCAGCAGGTGTGGACAGGTTGTAAGGCCTGAGCTTTCAGGATGTGCCTTAGCATGCCAAACCACAGGGACCATCTGCTCGTGAAGCATGTAAAAAGACACTCTGCATTCTAAAGGGAGCAGTTTGTAAAGAGGCACATACTATCTACCTTGAAGAAGACACTCTACTAGTGGCCTTTATTATTATATATATATATATATATATATTTGGTCAATTGTGGGGCTTGAACTCTGGGCCTGTGCGCTGTCCCTCAGCTCTTCAGCTCAAGGCTGGCACTCTACCACTTGAGCCACAGCGCCACTTCTGGCTTTTTCTGTTTATGTAGTGCTGAGGAATCAAACCCAGGGCCTCATGCATGCGAGAGGCAAGCACTCTACTACTGAGCCACATTCCCAGCCCCTGGCCTTTATAATATAGCAAATACAAGAGCAACACTTAGAGCCCAGTTTGGCAAAGCAGAGGCACAAGCTTCTGCAAGTTCAGTAGAGGGAACAAAGTAGTGAGGTTGCACAGAGTAAACATGGAAAAGCTAGTGGTATTACTTACGTGTGCAGGGAAAGGCTGGAGTCTTGTCCTGCTTTCCTCAGGATGGTTTGCTTCTCCTATTGGGAGATATGGTTTCTGACCTGATCCCGTCTCATACATGGACATGGGCCTACTGCCCCGGGCAGATGGACGTCGCTTTAAGGAGGAGTGGTTGGAAGTGTCTGGGTACTCAGAACCAGTCTGCACTTGATAGACATTGGTTGTGGCCTGTTTCCTGAGGCTCGAGTTCTCACTCTGAAGTGTTTGAAGCTGAAAGAAATGTTTGGCAGTGGGACTGTTTTTCCATAGCAAGCAGACAAAACAAACAGCAAGTAAACAAATACAACTACCAGCTTAAAACTGAACAATAACAGCTGGGTTGAAGGTAAAGAAGCAACTATAAACAAGAACTCTTTCTGGAATAAATAAAATGCACTCTACTCACTTTACCATACAGGCTAATTAGTTTCATTTCTGAATGTGGGAAGAGTTGTAGTTTGGGAATTTGAAAAACTAAATGTCTAACCACTTAACATTTTGTCATGGTGGGGCAGGGAAACATTTGCAGGCAAGCTGTATTCTAGATTGTTCTAAGGCTGTCTCAGGCAAGGGCCTGAGACCATTAAAACATCACTGAAGTGCTTTTCAAATGAACCCTGAGCAATTTGCAAATGCCAAGAGTGACAGCACACACCATGGAAGCAGCAGGAAGATAAGTAGGATTGCTCTGCAAAGCAAGAAAGACAATGAGTTCAGCTATGATAAATCAGATCACCTACTGCTTTCCAAAGAGCCAACAAGAAAAATTATGATCAGCAAGTTTTTATTACATAATACTCTTGGTATTCTAAACAATTCAGTGCTTTCTAAAAAATAAGAGGGAAAACTGAATCATGGTAAGTTTGCTATATTAATAGATCACGAAGAAAACTGGAAACCTATGGAACTGCGTTAGTATCTTCACATGAAGGAAATGTTCCACGTAGCACACTTGCTTCCTTCTGGTGATCCTTTTTTTTTTTTTTGGGCAGGGCTGGAGTATGTGGCCTGTCTCTCCTTAGGTTTTGTCACCCAAAAACCATGAATATGGTGGTGTCAGCTTTAACAGTTTAATCTGCTTGATACCCCATCCCCATTTTAGTTAAGACACTGTCATTTGGAGGCCCTGAGTGTTCTTTCCATTCCTCACATGAAGGCTGCTTCACAGTTAAGGGATCAGCAAGACTTTGTAGGGCTTGTTATCATCCAGCAATTTAAACACAAGTAGCTATGTCCATCTGCACAGGTCTGTCTCCACTGCTGCACCTTCATCTTCCATGCCATTGTGGTTTGAGTTCAGCTGTCTACTCTTAGAAAGAGAGATTGTAAACTCTGTCCAATTCCCCTCTGGACCAAGGTTTAAATCCACAGGCAATCATATCTGCACCAGGAGATCCTCACTTCCCAATAGCAAACTCATGCAGTATTAACGGTCACTTTCAATTTTTATTTATAAAGCATGACCAGTGAAAAATGCACCAATACTGGCTGGTCCTCTTCATTAAATAGCATCCTTTCCAAGCAACTGTTGAATGTGAAAGATCAGAGATAAATCATGCCACGTTGTCAACTTCATTGAAAATTGTATGTAATTTTGAAATAATAACATCTTTGCTATGTATACAAATTCCTTTTTTTTGCCAGTCCTGGGGCTTGGACTCAAGGCCTGGGCCCTGTCCCTGAGCTTCTTTTGCTCAAGGTTAGCACTCTACCACTTGAGCTACTTCCAGCTTATTCTGAAGAGTTTACTGAGATAAGAGTCTCAGATTTTCCTGCCTGGGCTGACTTCAAACCATGATCCTCAGATCTCAGCTTCTTGAGTAGCTAGGATTACAGTGAGCCATCAGTGCCTGAAACGAATTCCATATCTTTACTAGTGCTAAAATTATGTGGAAGTGTAGTTTCCTGCCTCTTGTATAGAAAGAGTTCTTCCTCTGGCTTCTTGAAGGGTAAGCCATGAGAGAATGATTGACTGCTTCTACTTCACCAAGGCTTTCGAGGGTGCAATGTGTATCTGCAACCTCCTCTTGTAAAGAGAAACATATGCAACACGATGACAGCTTGGGAGAAATCCCTGCATTCCAGGATACAGACAGGCAGGAGATGCATGTCAAAATGATGTGTTGGGAACCTGAAGCCTTAATGAAATGGTCAAGGTCCAAAGAATGAAAAGCCTAAGTGATCTGAGTCTCTCTACAGAGGACTTAAGTGTACATGTGTTTAGAAAAAGCCTCTGTACAGACCCAGGCACTAAAGTCAGAAACTACCCCAACATAGTGAATGATTCTGAAGCACAGTGGTTTATGATTTCTGCTTGGATTTTCTGGAATGAGCTATAGGATGGAACCGAGATCCTGGTTTTAGTTTTTAAAAAGCTTAGCACTCTGTATTTATGGAGGTGTCCTTGGATAAATTTTGATGTTGCATATATGTAATGCATGATATATAACACATATATCATATTGTATATGTATATATGCCTGTATTTTTTTTTGGTTGGTTGTGGGCTTGAACTCGGGAAATATGTGCTGTCTCTGAGCTTTTTTGCTCAAGGCTAGTGGTCTACCACTTTGAGCCACAGCTCCATTTCCAGTTTTTGAGTGGTTAATTGAAGAAAAGAGTCTCACAAGAACTTTTCTACCTGGGCTGGCTTCAAACTATGACCCTCAGATGTCAGCCTCATTACAGGCATTAGCCACCAGTGCCTGGCTCTGATGCTTATCTTAATAAGAACCAAACTAAACTCTGTTTGGAAGGAGTAGGACAGGAAATAAGTTATGGATAATTCAATAGTTTTGGAAACCAAATGTATTTCGAAGAAATGAAGAGATAATTCACGAACAATGGTAAGTTATTTCACTCTGAAATATTCTTTTTTTTTTCTCCTTTTTGCCAGTCTTGGGGCTTTAACTCAGGGCCTGGGCACTGTCCCTGAGCTTCTTTTTGCTCAAGGCTAGCACTCTACCACTTGAGCCACATTGCCACTTCCGGCTTTTTCCGTTTATGTGGTACTGAGGAATTGAACCCAGGGCTTCATACATTCTAGGCAAGCACTCTATCACTAAGCATATTCCCAGCCTGAAATATTCTTTATCATGTTCTTGGTACTGAGGTCTGAATTCAAAGCCTCAAGCTTGCCTAGCAAGTGCTTTACCACTTGAGCCATACCCCTAGCCCATTTTGCTTTCACGATTTTTCAGATAAGGTAACCTAGAGCTGGTCTCAGACTACAATCTTGTTTCCTACCTACCAGGAATTTAACTTTTAACTGGGTTGGTGTTGAATTGTGATCCTCCTCACCTCTGTCTCCCAAGTAGCTGAGATTATGAGCATGAACAACCACAGTTAACCTATCACTCTGCTTTTTTCCCTGGGTGCCAGTACTAAGAACTGAACTCAGGGTCTTGAGCTCTTGCTTGGCTTTTTCACTCATAGCTGGAGCTCCACCATTTAAACTGTACCTCCAGTCAGGTTTTCTTGTTTTGCTGGTTAATTGGAGATAAAGAGTCTTGCAGGAAATGGAGCTGTGGTTCAAAGTGATAGAGCACTAGCCTTGAGTGAAAAGGCTCAAGGACAGTACCCAGGCCCTGAGTTCAAGCCCCACAACTGACCAACAAAAAAGAAAAGAAAAGTCTTGCAGACTTCTCTGCCAGGCTGGCTTTGAATCTCAATCCTCAGATCTCAGTTTTTCAAGCAGCTAAGACTACAGGCGTGAGTTCCCAATGACTGGGCACTCTTCAGAGGTACAAGGTTATTATTGCTGGTGATTTCTATGAATACTGAAAGAAGCATTATAGAATAAAAAAGATAACCCTTGATAGATTAAAACATGTCAGCATGTTTCAGAAAAAAGTCAACTAAAAGTTTTTAGTCTGATTTACGAGACAAACTATAACCCATTAAGCAAAAATCTATTCCAGAAAAGGCGGGAAAGCTAGGCCCCAGTGGCTCATGCCTATATCCTACCTGCTCAAGAGGTTGAGATCTGAGGATCATGGTTTGAAGCCAGCCACAGCAGCAGAGTACTAGAGATTCCATCTCCAATCAAGCAGTGGAAAAGCTGGACTGGAGGTGTGGCTCAAGTGGTAGAGTGCCAGTTGTAAACAAAAAAGCGAGAGAAAAAGCCAAGTGAGAGCATGTAGCCCTGAACTCAAGCTCTAGTACCAGCACCAAAAAAAAAAAAAGGAAAAGAAAGGGCAGAGGAAATGCAAGTCTTGTATGTTACAACAAGGGGGCTGGTCACAGTGGCATACCAGTCTTAAATCAAATCCCAGGTGAAGGTCTACTTTTTTCTCTAGTGAGTACAGTTTAGTTCTTTGGATTTTCTAAGGAAGTAGAATTAAAATGAACCTCATGCCTAAATCTTGAAAAAGTGTCAGTGACAGCATAAAGACACGGGTTACAGACTGTTTCTGCTTAAGGGAAACTTCTCTCTCTTCTCTCTCTCTCTTTTCTCTCTCTCTTTCAATCTCTCTCTATCTGCAACTCTGGGAACTGAACCTACGGTCTCATGCATACCAGGTAAATACTCTACCACTTTATTCACCTCACACTCACCTCAAAAAAATCTCATTTCTGAAGGGAACTAAATTTGGGAGCAGAACCCACAAAGTCTTGGGTAATATTTGGCATTTTCCAGCTTCTCTTTCTCTGACTTCTCAGGAAGAAGTAAACATACATGATCTCCCTTAAATGTATGCTTTGCTAATACTTGCCACACTCCTTTTAGAGACTAAGATAGTCATGCAATTCTGATTCTCTCAAAGGGGAATGAATGACAAAATGCTCAATGTCCAGGACTATCTCTTGTTGGTATTTCTTCTTGCTAGTACAGATGGGATTCTCTTACTTACTGAGAATCTACCCTGTAGTAGGGCCTGCTCTAGGCTCTGGGAATACCACAGATAAGTGGTTAAGTCCTAGTGACAAGCAAGTGGGGATTAGGGGTGGGCTGTCAGGGTAAGAGTGGGTAAGAGCTGAGTGACCATTAGCAGAAAAAGCACACCTGCACGGCGTGGGCTAATGGGTACACACGCCTGCCCAGGACTTTTGCCCAATCTTATGCATGATGTGATTATTCTTTACAATTAGCAACAGGAAGAATTACATCCTTGCCATGACATCCAGATCCTCAGGAAGCATACATGTACTTGGGTTATTGACTCTGGATGCATTTTTCTTTTTCTTTTTTTTAAGTGTTGGAGACTGACCCCAGGGCTTTGAACTCATATGCTCTGTATCACTGAACTATATCCATGTAAATACTATATCTCTTTTCTTTATTTGTGGTTCTGGGGATAAAACCCAAGACCTTGAGAATGGAGGCAACCACTTTACCACTGAGCTATATCCCTACCCCTACTCTGGATACATTTGTAAACAAACCTATTTTATATCCAATATCCACACACAATCTGCTTCCAGAAAGACACTTTGGCCCCAAGATGTCTAAGGCTATAACAGTAACTATTTTTCTTCCCTCTGACCATTAACATAGTGCCTGGGATTGACTTCCTTATACTATGGGATCAAAGAATCAACCGTCCTGGCATTCATTAACATGTTACCTTTTTCTGCATAATTCTCAGCTCGTCACTCAAGTTGTTATTCACCTTCATTAGCTGTTGTATCTTGGCCTCAGAAGCCACTAGGGCGTTTTTGACCTCCATAAATTCCTGCACAGTGACTGGTCCATCTGATAAATCTGAATCTAGGCTCTAAAAATAAATTGGGGAAAATGTTCACAATCTGAGATGATAATGTTAAAGCCTAACAGCTAAAGAATTTCCATTTCTGGCTGTGCCAGCTGAATCACAAGTTAAATCAAATCAAGGCTTCTGAGAGTAATGTAAAACTGAAACATAAACGTAGGGTCCCTATGTTGGAGCAGGCAAGCAGGGCTGCAAATCTACACTGCTAATGACTGTCTGAGGAAGTCTGTCCTATCTTCACGCCTTTTCTTGCTCATTTTCTTTTCTTACTCATTCTTCCATTAATTCACTCATTCCAACATTATTGCACATTAGGCAGTTTCCAGGTGTGTGGGATGTATCAGAAAATAGGTTCCTGCTTCCATGGTGTTTTCATCCCAGCAGCATTAGGAGAAACATAAAAATAATTAAATATACAATGTGAGTGAAAAGTGATTAGTGCTTTGGAAACATACAGGGAAGGGGGCACAGAGCTAAAGTAAGAGTATAGGTGGGAGTGCATGTTAGGGAGCTGGGGTGAGCCTTGATTAGAGTCTACAGAGGTGAAGGGATCAGTCAGATGGTGCCCAGAGGAGGAACATTCCAGCAGACTGCAGAGCTCAGCTAGAGGAAGTAGATGTGAAGACAGGAGGAGGGAGCCTGATCAGTCAATGGAGGGAAACTGGCTTCCACTCTGGCAGTCTTGGCAGGGGTTATCTCCTCAATCTGCCAGTGGCAGCACGATTCTCACAGTCATGTGAAGCACATCTAAATCCATCTCCCACTTCACACCTCTACATCTCTCTACCTTCCAGTTCTTCCATTCTCAGAATCCATCAAGCACTTTGCAGGCTACTCCTAGTATCCACAGCAGATGGGGCCCTGGAAAACCCTGCTTCCTCCATGGTGCCTCAGGCTTTCCCACTGGGCTCCTCCAAGCCCAGACCCTGAGGTAGCTCATTCCAGCCCACTTGGACCATATAGGAACATCCTAACCAGGTCCCTCCTTTCACATCTGACCTTTGTCCTCTTGCCTCACCTAAAGCTCCTGGGCTCTCACAGCTTCTGACTAAAGCCATAGTTGTTCATTCTCATGTTACATTCTTCCTGTTATAGCTTTGTGTTCTCACCCCCTTTGTGTCTCCCCCACCCCTGCTTTTTTTTGGCTATTCATAACCATCCTTCTATCCTTCTCCCAACAGCCTTGGCTTTTCTTTCTTTCTTCTCAGACTGCCCTGTCCAGTCGTCTTCACAAGCCCAAAGTCCATATAACCTTTCAGGCTTCTCTTATGACCCAGCCATCTACCAAGCCTCCTTAGGCTCTCCCAGGCACTAAGTTCTCTCCTCTCACTCCCCCAGCTTCTGCTTGTGCTTTGTACCTTCCACCATGGTCATCAGTCCTCTCCCAGGCAATGGCCTCATTTGGGAAAGTGTTACCCAAGAAGTCACTTAGCAAGTATTTTTTGAGTGACTAGAACCTTTCAGTCATGGCTCACAATCTTAACAGAGGCATGACAGCAGCGGGCTGTGACTGCAACTGTCTCAGAGACAAAAGTCTCTATTTTCAAAACATTTTATCTCTTTTCACTGTTCTTTGGCCAGAACTAACAGTAAGCCCAACTTTACCCTCTTAGTACCTGTTGCAGGGCTACCCCTTGAGAGACTGATAGGGTAATTCTACAGGGGAAAGAATTTTAAGAGAAACGTGTCTGCCCTTCTGTGTGAGATGTGTTCTCTCACCTTTTGTCTGTTTGCCTTGCTTGCTGTGGTCTCCAAATCGGTGTCTTCATCTGATGCCACACTGTCATAGTCTGGCTGGTCATTATCTTGACTCTCAATACTGTGCTGGTTATTGATTGTTTTCAGTATGAGCTCCACATTGTCTGTCAGTAGAATCAAGTAACTTACTTCAGGCTTAAAATGTTTTTCCTTCCAAAAACCTACTGGCATACTTTTTGGTTATATTCAATACCAATAGAGGGGTAGTAGAAATATAGAGAAATTTGCCTAGAGAAATATAGGCAAATGAAGATGATTCAGAAAGGAGCTGCTTATTAGATTGAGGAGGCAGGTTCCCAGGCTTGCATACATACAGCATAGATCCAGATCATGAAGATGTATCAGTACCATTTGATCCTTGTGACATACTTATAAGAAAATGTCATCAAAACAGAAAGCAAATTAGGACACTGGACCCTTGAAAGTAGGTGCTCAAAGAATAGGGACACTAAAAAAAAAAAAGAATAGGGACACTGACATTTAGTTCCTGAATACAAATGAGAATGAGAGAAGAGAAGGTAGAGGAGAAGACGGGGAAGGGCAAGGAAAGGAGAAGTAATCCAATGGACATACAAGTTCCGTTATTAACAGTATGTATTCCACACAGGGCAAGGATGGTTTTACAGGCTCTGACATGCTTGGAATAAAAAGGTTCATAAACTACCCAGGACTATCCAATTTCGGGCAGCTAAAGCTAACCACCAATTCCTAATACTGTTTTCCAGATGACTTGATAACTGATATCTGAGTAATGAATTGTGGCTTTTTAAAAGGACTATTTGATTTTTTTTAAATATTTAAAACATTTGATGTGATTATAGAAGTAATAAAGTTTTAATATAAAGAATTTGGAAACTAATGAGCCAAGGGAGACAAAAATCATTGCTTCTTTAATGTTTAAACTAATTTTATTATTTTTTTGTCGGTCACGGGGCTTGAACTCTGGGCCTGAGTGCCGTCACTCAGCTCTTTAGCTCAAGGCAAGCTCTCTACCACTTGAGCTACAGTGCCACTTCCAGTTTTCTGGTGGTTTACTGGAGATAAGAGTCTCACAGACTTTCCTGCTCGGGCTGGATTGAACCAAGAGCTCAATAGGATAACACGTGTGAGCCACTGGTGCCCGGCTTAAACTAATTTTTTTGTTTTAACAGCCTTTTATTTTACAATTAGTATATGCTCATTACCAAAACTCTGGAAAATAAAAAAGAAAGTATATTCTTTAAAAAAAAAACTCAGACCGGGCACTGGTAGCTAACGCCTGTAGTCCTAGCTACTCAGGAGGCTGAGATCTGAGGATCGCGGTTCAAAGCCAGCCTGGGCAGGAGAGACCGTGAGACTCCTATCTCCAATAAACCACCAGAAAACCGGAAGTGGCGCTGTAGCTCAAGTGGTAGAACGCTCTCGCCTTGAGCTGAAGAGCTGAGGGACAGCGCCCAGGCCCAGAGTTCAAGTCCCACGACCGACAAATAAATAAATAATAAAAAAAAACTCAGTATTGGGGGCTGGGAAGGTGGCTCAGTGGTGGAGCGCTTGCCTAGCATGCATGAGGCCCTGGGTTCGATTCCTCAGCACCACATAAGCAAAAAGGAAAAAAAGCTGGAAGTGGCGCTGTGGCTCAAGTGGTAGAGTGCTAACCTTGAGCTAAAGAGCTGAGGGACAGCATCCAGGCCCAGAGTTCAGGCCCCATGACTGGAACCAAAAAACAAAACAACTCAGTATTATGAACTTCAAGGTTATTAAATATGTCAAGAAAACTCTGGATTGTGCTTTGATATTTTCAATCATGGCTGTCCAATTAGTAGCATAGTGCTAGACACTTAAATTATTAGCATTTTTTATTATACAGTGCTACAATGAATGTCCAAATTTAAACTAATTTTTTTTTTTTTGTCAGTCGTGGGGCTTGAACTCTGGGCCTGGGCGCTGTCCCTCAGCTCTTCAGCTCAAGGCGAGCGCTGTACCACTTGAGCTACAGCGCCATTTCCAGTTTTCTGGTGGTTTATTGGAGATAGGAGTCTCATGGTCTCTCCTGCCCGGGCTGGCTTTGAACCGCGATCCTCAAATCTCAGCCTCCTGAGTAGCTAGGATTACAGGCATGAGCCACCAGCACCCAGCTAAACTAATTTTTTAATGTTCTTTTTCTTTCAATTTTATTTCTTTTTTTTTTTCTGCCAGTCCTGGGGCTTGAACTCAGGACCTGGGCACTGTTCCTGAACTTCTTTTGCTCAAGGTAGCACTCTACCACTTTGAACTACTTCGCCACTCCTAGTTTTCTGGTAGTGAACTGGAGATAAGAGTGTCATGGACTTCCCTGTTTGGGCTGGCTTTGAACCATGATCCTCAGATCTCAACCCCCTGAGTAACTAGGATTACAGATGTGAGCCACTGGTACCAGACAATTTTTGTCATTCTTAATAGTGATTTTTCTAAAGGGATGCTGTGAAGACTGAATAAATCAATGTGGAATAACCACTGCCCCTATGGAGAACACAGGATTAGGTTCCTAAGAACCTCTGTTCATAGTAGTTTCATTAATCAACCAATATATCTTTTTTTCTCTTTTTTTGTCAGTCGTGGGGCCTGAACTCTGGGCCTGCATACTGTCCCTCAGCTTTTTAGCTCAAGGCTAGCACTCTACCACTTGAGCCATAGTGCCACTTCTGGCTTTTTCTGCTTATGTGGTGCTGAGGAATCAAACCCAGGTCCTCATGCATGCAAGGCAAGCACTCTACTACTGAGCCATCTTCCCAGCCCAATATATATTTTTATGTGTGATTCTGTTTAATGACATCTCATGTATTAATACTTAATTCATGAATACTGCCTTCATGGTCGAAAGCACTACAAGTCATGCTAGAATTATGCTTACTGTCCAGACGTTCTGTGCATATATAAGGGCTGAAACAAAAAGTCAGTAAATTATTTTGTACAGTCTCAGCCAGGAACAAGCATTGATTAGGGGACTATAAGAAAATTTTAGCTGAATTTGCAAATATGTAATTTGCATGTGAGAACCAATTGTATATTATATTTATATAGTATATGTATTTTTTGTCAGCCATGGGGCTTAAACTCAGAGCCTGAGCACTGTCCCTGAACTCTTTTTGCTCAAGGCTAGGACTTTACTACTTTGAGCCACAGTGCCACTTCTGGTTTTCTAGTGGTTAATTGGAGATGAGAGTCTCATGGACTTTCCTGCCTGGGCTGGCTTTGAACTGCCATCTTCAAATCTCAGCCATCTCAGTCAGTATCTAGGACTACAGGAATGAGCCACTGGCACCTGGCATACACACTGTCTTATATATGTATATAAATATGTTTTAAGGGGGCTGGGAAGGTGGCTCAGTAGTAGAGTGCTTGCCTTGCATGCATAAGGCCCTGGGTTTGATTCCTCAGCACCACATAAGCAAAAAGCCGGAAGTGGCGCTGTGGCTCAAGTGGTAGAGCACTAGCCTTGAGCTGAAGAGCTGAGGGACAGTACCCAGGCCCAGAGTTCAGGACTGGACCCAAAACAAAACAAAAAAAAATGTTTTAAGGGCTCAAGTGGTAAATTGCTTGCCTAGCAAGCATGAATCCCTAACTTCAAACCCCAGTACCAACTCCCACTCCACATAAATGTTTAACTTACAAAACTGACATTATACTAAACTTGCTAAAACAACCCCCGCCCCCATGCAAAAGTCTTCTTTTTCCTTGAGACTAAGTCTGATTATGGAGCTGGGTACGTACCTATGGCTCACACAGACTTTTGGGTTAATTTTGGGGTACAATTTTATAAGGAGAATAAGAGATCCAATGGGGAAAGGGGAATCTATGTAAAATAAATTTGAATAATAGTTACCAGTTTTGAAATACTTCTAATTTAGCTCAGCTGCAACAGGTAACATTTTGTCAAATTACTAATAAATCATAGGAATGTAAGCTGTTGTTGTCAATGACTGCTATAAATTTAATAGTTAAGACTTAGAAAGCCCAAAGAAGTACACACTTGGAGCTAGATACTTGCCTTTTGAACTGGAGAGAGGACTGCCCTGCTGTCTCCTCTTGGCGTCACTGAGGATGTCGATGACCAGCGTAGCAAACTCATGGGCATTAAATCGAGCTAACTTCTGTCTGCCCTAAGGATGAGAATTGGAAATGCAAAAATAAAAACATGCAAAGGTATTTCAATATGACCAAAGAATAACCTATCACAGCAAACATCAAATCAAACATTGTTTTCTATGAGAACTATTTAAAAGCATTTATATAAGAAATCTTCTTAACATTTAGATGCTCACAATCTGTATTTCTTTTCGTTCATATGGATAAAATGACTCTGGCTGGGAATATAGCTCAGTGGTAAAGTGCTTGCCTAGTATGCAAGTGGCTCTGGGGTCTATCCTTTTTTTTTTTTTGGCCTGGGCTCTGTTCCCAAGCCTCTCTGTGCCCAAGGCTAGCGCTCTACTACTTGAGCCATAGCACCAGTTCTGGCTTTTTCTGCTTATGTGGTACTGAAGAATCGAACCCAAATGTATGCTAGGCAAGCACATTCCCAGCCCTGGGGTCTATTCTTAACACCACCAAAGTAAGTACATAAACAATATGGTTCTACTTACTGATTTTCTTCTATTAATGATTTAATTCTGAAGTAGACTCAGTAATAAAAAAAATTGGAGAAAAATTTCTAACTTTCAGGATAAAGTAATAATCCAGATGTTGAGATTCTTAACAGTCTATATAGCCATTAGTCATAAAAACAAAAATTCCAGCCATGTGCCAGTGGCTCATGCCTGTAATCCTAGCTACTCAGGCAGAAAAGTCCGTGAGACTCATATCTCCAATAAACTACTCAAGATTTTTAAAAAATTTTTAAAAAAAGGCCAGAAGTGGCACTGTGGCTCAAGTGCTAGCCTTGAGCAAAAGAAGCTCAGTGACAGCACCCAGTTCAAGCCCCAGGACCTGCAAAAATAAAATAAAATTTCTTCCTCATCTACTCACCACTTCTTCTTCTCCTGATGGATCTGAAGCTGAACTTCTTTATTTTGCTATACTAGGGATTGAACTCAGGGGCTTTTGTTTATTAGGCAGGCAATATACCAACTTGAGCCTACCCATCTCCCATACCTCTAGCCTAGCTGAAGTTGTTGTTTTGCCAGTCCTGGGGCTTGAACTCTGGGCCTGCTGTCCTTGAGCTTTTATGCACAAAGCTAGCCTTCTACCACTTAAGCCACAACTCCACTTCCATCTTTTTTTTTTGTAGTGGAGAGTCTCAGAGACTTTCCTGCCCAGGCTTGCTCTGAAGCCTGATCCTCAGCTCTCAGCCTTCAGAGTAGCTAGGATTTTACAGGTATGAGCCAGCAAGCTAAGGATGTTTTATATGCTCTGTTATTATGTACTTTGCTCTGTATGTAAATCTATTTCAATTTTATTAGAATATATTCTCAGGGGCTGGGAATGTGGCTTAGTGGTAGAATGCTTGCCTAGCATGCATGAAACTCTGGGTTTAATTCCTCAGTACCACATAAACAGAAAAGCTGGAAGTGGGGCTGTGGTTCAAGTGGTAGAATGCTAGACTTGAGCAAAAGTAGTTCAGGGACAGTGCCCTGGCCCTGAGTTCAAGCCCCAGGACTGGAAAAAAATGTGTGTATGTATATATATGTATATGCATATGTATATATATACACACACACATATATATACACACACACACATTCTCATACAAGGAACTGAGCAAAAAATATGCTTAACTTGGAAGCTTTTCAAGCTGATAAATTTCTCTTCTTTTCTCCTTTTATTGGTGGCTTTAGGGCTTAAACTCAGGATCTTGCATGTGCCAGACAGGTATACTCCGCCACTTAAGCCACTACTCCATTAGCTTTTTCCTTTTTAAATGGTTGTTGTTTTTTTGAAAGCAGAATTCTCAAAATAATTTGTCCTGCCTTACCAACTCCCCCATCCTCCCTCTACTACCCACCACCCTGGGATAACATGTATATGCAGCATCAAATGTTTTTCTAAAGCATTCTAGAAACTTAACATCTTTTCTGTAGCAGGAGAAAGCCCATCCTGCTCATCATTAGCTTGGAGCTAATGTCAATTTCCTTCCAGTTGCTTTCTTTGATTACTGGTCAGGTCAAACATTTCTTGCCATCTGTAAGTCATTTATATTTCTTCTATGAATTGTTTATATTCATTTTCAGTCATTTGCTCCCATCCACCTCTTTTCTTATCATTTTTTGAGTTGCATGTATGTTTATGTATATACAAGATAGTAGATTTTTTTTTTTTTTTGGTTCCGGTCGTTGGGCCTGAACTCTGGGCTTGGGCACTGTCCCTCAGCTCTTCAGCTCAAGGCTAGTGCTCTACCACTTGAGCCACAGCACCACTTCCGGCTTTTTTCTTTTTGCTTATGTGGTGCTGAGGAATCAAACCCAGAGTCTCAGGCATGCAAGCGCTCTACCACTGAGCCACTTTCCCAGCCCCAAGATAGTAGATTTTAATCAATTGAAACACAATACTCATTTTGGAAAAGGGAAATACCATGACATCAACTACTCCTCAAATATCACTACTTAGTTTTCAAATTAAGCCACTTGCCTGGTTTCGTGTTGATGAGTACTCAGGATTGACCGGAAGAAAGGGGACGACGGTTGTCTCAGTTACCAGGGTGCTGTGGTTTTGCGTGGCAAGCCAGACTAGCCAGAGGAAAGAGCCAGAGATAGAATCTCATCACATCTGGGGTGCCACGGCTCCGCTGGGAGGCACAGCTCACACGTTACTAGGGAGACTTGGGGAAGCACACTCTTGAAGCCAACATACGCAAAAGTATATGTTGATACACGCATTAGGAGGACAGGAGAAATTGGGCAAGTAAAACACTGAGGCTGGCAGCTAGACACTGCCTAGTGATAACAGAAGCTTAGGAAAGCCACATGGTAAGTCACCTGCATCAGTCTCTCGCCTGTCAACTTCATCGTAAACATCCATGGCAAGTTCTTCAAACAAATGATTATTTAGCTGAAAGGAAAAAAATATCAGGGATACAAGGGACAATGATTAACATCAGAAGAGGGGACTATGACTTATTCACCATTTTACCTCCAATGTCTATTCAAAGCTAGTGCCTGGTAAATACCCACTATTAAGCAGATAATATTTCCTCTAGAAACATCTGCCATCCTCAGCAACATTACTGCTCTGTAACATACAAACAGGGTTGCTGCTACTGAGAAGGCACGAAGTAACTAACACATCACCTAAAGGCAGGCTCATTCTCTGCTCTCTTTTGACAGTACTCTGTCTCTTCTGCCCTTCAGAGCATTTTTCAAGCCCCCCAAAAGTAGGCAATCCCAACTCCTGGTAGGACAAAGAAATGAAAATGTGCTGACAGAGTGGATAAAAAGCACTCAGGCAGCAGTCCTCCTAGCAAATCATAACCTGACTAACCAGCATGTTGTATGGTGTCAGCTCATGACACAAACACCACACAGACAGAGGGGGCTAACTGACAGCAGCCAGGGACAGGGATGGGATGGGGGGGCGATCTCTTCCCAACTCAGACAAGTACAAGCCCCTGCCAAGGCAGCTCCAGCTGTATCCTTTCTGCCTCATGAAACTCATCCTGACACTTGCACTTTTTAATGTTCCCTGCTCTGTGAGGGCAGATGCTGAGTTTGTTATACTTCCCACTATATAGCTCCCATCTGCAAATAGTACATGCAACTAAGGAAATATTCACTCAGGCTGATCTGAATTATCTTTTATGCAGCCATTTAAAATGTTGGTTACAGAGCTAGACATGAGGGGATATAACTTCAACCCCAGAACTTAGCAGACAACCAGGAAAATCACAAGTTCCAGGCCAGTCTGGATTACATAAGTAGGAAGCCAGCCTGGGTTACAGTGAGACTTGTTCTCAAAAACCAAAACAATTGGGCTGGAAAGGTAGCTCAGTGGTACTGTTTGCCTTGCATGCATGAGGCCCTGGGTTTAATTCCTCAGCACCACATAAGCAGAAAATGCTAGAAGTGGTGCTGTGGCTCAAGTGGTAGAGCACTAGCCTTGAGCTGAAGAGCTGAGGGACAGTACGCAGGCCCAGAGTTCAGGCCCCACGACCAACCAAAAAAAAAAACAAACACAACAATTTAAATATAAAATTCCTATAACTATATGGTGTTATAAAACAGGTACAAAACAATCTGTTTTGAAAAAATAACTGAAAAAACCCTCCATAACACTGAGTCTGAGTTGATTAAGAACTAGTAATTGAGGATCATTTCAGCATCTTTGATTTTTAATTACATTTTTAATTAAAAATGTAAAAGTCTGTTTCTAGACAAGATAATAAGGTTGGGAACTTGAACGTGCTTGGGAAATACCTTCTTTCTCTAAGGAACAACAAACTGATGTTATTGGAAATACCTTGTTTCTTTCTCTAAGGAACAACAAACTGATGTTATTATCACTTAACAATGACAACAGCCAAAATTGACTAGGGGCTTACATCTGAGTTACTATGTTAACATCATCATATTTAATACAACCACTTCTATGAAGATAGGATTTACCACTGTTCCACTGCACACACAAGAACACTAAGGCATAGAAGTTAGTAGGCAGCTCTAAGCCACAAAGCTAATTAGTGAAAAAACTAAGATTCAGGTTTAAGCCTCTTAAAATGTTAACATTTACTAAGTCATATATACATTGATCTCTGTTATAGTTCTCTTATTAGGGAGAAAGGAGAAAAGAGAGGGAGAGATAGAGGCAGGGAGGGAAGGTAGAGGGAAAGAGGAAGAAAGAAAGGGAGGAAGGGAGGTGGGGAGGGAAGAGAGGAGAGGAGGAAGATAATGTAGAATGAATGCTGTTCTGGCATTGGTAAGCAGCTACCTTCAAGGAAACCACCAAGTCATAACAGCTGATAAAGGCAGCTCCCCCTTATCTAGTAATTCTAGTCTGATAGTGTATTCTAATTTAATAGTGCTGTTGGTCTAAGGATGCCCTACTATATCATTTTCTGCCTTTTCCAGGGGACACCACCAACTTACAGGGTTGGATAAGGCGCTTTGCAGGGTCAAGGGGTACACCTGATCAATCTGACCCACACCCTGAGTTCTTGAGAACCATATCAAACTCTGACCAAGATATTTAATGCCTGCTGCATGCTAGACACTATAGACATCATCTCAGCTTTCATGGTTTCTAACCTAGCAAATACCAAAAGAGTCAAAGAGAATCTGGATTTTATCAAGGTAAGTTATATGTAAGTTTATGAGTAACTAAAATGAAACCACACTGGGAGCTTGTTGCTCACACTAGTAATCCTTGCTACTCAGAAAATTGAGACCTGAGGATCGTGGTTTGAAGCCAGCTGGGCAGGAAAAGTCCAAGAGACTCTTTTCTCCCATTAACCATGAAAAAGCTGGTAGTGGAGCTGCAGCTCAAATGGTAGAGCACTAGCTTTAAGCAAAAAAACTCAAGGACAGGGGCTGGGAAGCTGGCTCAGTGGTAAGAGCGCTTGCCTTTCATGCATGAGGCCCTGGGTTCAATTCCTCAGCACCACATAAACAAAAAGAAAAAAGCCGGAAGTGGCACTGTGGCTCAAGTGGTAGAGCACTAGCCTTGAGCTGAAGAGCTGAGGGACAGCACCCAGGCCCAGAGTTCAGGCCCCACGAACGGACCCCCCCAAAAAAAACCACAAAAAAAAAAACCCTCAAGGACAGCACCCAGACCTTGAGTTAAGCCCAGGACTAGCAGGAAGGAAAAAAAAAAAACAAAAGGAAACCATGTGATATTTTGTGCTTCCAAAATATATTATCTTAATCATCTTTATACTATATGAGCTCCTAGTTTAAGAAAGGCAATAAAACACAGACACACAAAACCATATATATAGAACAAAGAGACACCAGACAAATTACATAAAACACATTTATTTCATAATACAGTTAAATACTAATAAGGGCAAGTTAATTTTATGTTATTTAATATATGAGGTTTCTAAGAAGGATCTTTTGTGAAAGGGGGAATGAGCAGAAAGTCACAAATTAGGGAAGCTGCCATTTCAGATTAGGGCTCTGGGTGAGCTGCTCCCTAAACTATAGAGAATGCTAAAAGTTATGTCTGCAAATGTGCAGACAGAATAAGATTCCTGGAAAAGGATTTAAAGACAACTGTTCTTGGTCTCAGAAAGTGTTAACCCATCAACATATAGAGACACATACAGAACCAGATGGAAAAGTAAGACAAGCTCTGAAAGGTGAGAGTTGGATGGCATTCCTTAAAGGTCACAGAAAGAAGCTATAAATCTTGGATCTGATCCACAAAACAATGAGGATAATCTGGTGGCTACAGTGGCCAGGAAGCACCCTTTGAGGCTTCATGTGAAGGAGTGGACAAAGGGAAATTGTTCTTGGAGTAGTCAGTTTTCTGGGGCTGAGGCTAGGTGGGAAGTTTATAAAGACACAGATAAAAATGACTTTCAGATATATATGTGAGTCTGGACCTAAGGTCACGACCAGCTTTAAAAATGTTTGGATCAATGGCAGAGATGGGCAACGAGAGTTACACCATGGCATAAGTGAATATAGAACTCATCACCTTGCCAGCATCAACTTTTATCATTCCCCAGCATCCTATGTGGCTACCAGAAGTAATTCCAGGGAAAGAAACAGGGAACTCTCCTGAGGGTAACCAACTTCCTAATAACATAGGTGCAGGTTTCTCTCTTAACATGACAGAAAATTGGGCGTATTTGAGGCAGAGCCAGTGAATTAGATATGCTAAAGTTAATAGTGCTTTTGGACTTGTTACATATAACAGTGAACTCAACAATCTGTTTCTAATTTAACATCACCTCAAAACATGAAATAAAGTCATCAAATGTAATGGGTAACTTGGACTGACAATAGGTACCACTGGATACATGAATTCCCGTAATAGAGTCCACCAGTAAAGAGATACTCACAGACTGAAGTTTCTTCTTAGCAGCTTTTGCCAATTCAGACAAATCCAGGCTGCTAAGAAAATGTACAAAACAAGTAAGCAAAGAAATAGAACCACATTTGTGAAGTCTGTAGAAGATTAAGATACTCAGGTTATGAAAATATTATTACAGTTAATGAACACTGTCCAACTTAAGCATTCTATAGTCGAAGAGATAAGTAAGGAAATGGAAATAATCTGGCCAAAGTAACTCCTTCTAGAAATACAATAGTTATATAAAATGGTAGAGAAAAAAAATTGCCCACCAAATCAATGACAAAACAACTGCTAGCTTAATCTTTAGTCCCTTATGTAAGGAGACACAATTTTTGAAGTATTAAAGAGCTGTGGATGTGACTCAGTGGTAGAATTTCTGCCTGTCATGCATGACGTCCTGAGTTCCATCCACAGCACCATCGGAAAAAATAAAAAGAAACTGTGAAAAACTGGAATGGCAAGATTGTATCTAGAATAGTAGGTAATCATTTCATAAACCCTTGACAGTATTTGTACAAAGCCTAAATAGGATTTAAGGTTCATTCCTGTAACAATGACCTCATCTGATTTCACACAGCAAAGTTGGCCTTGTATCTGTTCAGCCTATCAGCTAAGAATTGCTTTTATATTTTTAAATGGTTGGGGAAGAGAAAGAATAACAGTTCATAAAATGTGAAAGTTTAATGAAATTCAAGAGTCAGTATCCAGAAATAAAATTTTACTGGAAAAAGACATACCCATTTTTACTCAGTGTCCAATTTTTCTCAATGCTTTTGTCTACAATGGTAGAGCTGAATAGCTACCATAGGCTGTATGGCTCAGAGCCTAAAATACTCATCTGGGCCCTAGATGAAAGAGGTTTACTGACACTTATTATGGACAAAGAACAGAAACTCCATGACCCAGAAATATTTCATATATAATCTACTGATACAATGTACTATCATAACTGGTTAAAACTGTGGTTATTATTACTGACTCCAATTTCCTTATTAATAAACTCATTACTTGTGTGCTTTCAAACTTAAGTTTTATATGGTGGTTTACTTACAGCAGTCTTATTTCCACATTGTATAGCCATAAAAGAGAAAAATGTATGGGCTTTGTTAAAACACAAATAAAATATACTGCTCAAGCACTATATCACCAGGGAAATATTGGGGGGGGGGCAAATAAAATTGACTGGTATCCAATTGCCTTACCTGTCTGCCATTTGAGGTATTATAAAGTGCTGTCCATTTTTGTGATCTGAAACAGAAACCAAAATTTTATCCATAGAAATACTAATAAGGTCTGTAAAAGAACATGCTCATTATTTTCTCAATTTAAATTTTACACTTAATATTTCCTGCAACTATGAATTTAGGGTAACAGTAGTTGCCAGATTAGCTACAAATCCCTGAAAAACTGTGTAGAATCAAGAATCACCTCCTCTTTTGATTTTTGTTGGTCCTTTGGCTTGAACTCTGAACCTGGGCACTGTCCCTCAGTTCTTCAGCTCAAGAATAGTGCTCTACCACTTGAGCCACAGCACCACTTCTGGTTTTCTGGTAAAGGCAGGAGCCTTCACCTCCTCTTTTGTTAGACATCACTCAGTAGAAAACCGAAGCTCAGCCAAAACTTGTAAGTGCACCCCCAAGATAACAGATGATCTTTAGCCATGGAAAAATGTTGAGGGAGATGAATTAACTCCTGAGTAGCTAGGATTACAGGCACAAGCCACCCAGTCCCCAGCAATATTAAATTTCATAATAATATTAAAAACAAAGCCGGGCATGGGTGGTTCACGCCTGTAATCCTAGCTACTCAGGAGGCTGAGATCTGAGGATTGCAGTTCAAAGCCAGCCCAGGCAGGAAAGTCTGTGAGACTCTTATCTCTAATAAACTACTAGAAAACTGGAAGTGGTGCTGTGGCTCAAGTGGTAGAGTGCTTGCCTTGAGCTGAAGAGCTGAGGGACAGGGCCCAGGCCCAGAGTTCAAGCCCCATGACTGACCAAATTAAAAAAAAAAAAAAGAACTTTAATATTAAGAACTTTAATTCAAGATCGCAAAGACTCTCCCCAATATTTTGTTCTAAAAGTTTTATAGTTTAGGTTAAATATTTAAGCCAATGACCCAGTTTAGTTATTATGTGTGTTTGTGTGTGTGTGCACACACAACACACATTTGTACTGACACCCAATGTTAGGGTCTCATGCTTTCTTAGGTTTTTTTTTTTTTTTTTTTTTGTTCAAGGCTGCACTACCCTTTGTACCACAGTTCTACTTTGGCTTTTCTACTTGGAGGTTAAGTCTCTCAAATGTGTATGGCTTGGCTTTGAACCTCTATCTTCAAATCTCGGCCTCCTAAGTAGATAGGATTAAAGGCATGAACCAAAAGCCTCCAGCATTAATTACTGTTTTTTGACCTCTCTCTATTTTTTTTCAAATTGGTGATACTGGATTTAAACTTAGGACCTTGTGCTTGCTACACAGATACTTTATTGCCAAATGATTCCTTCAAAGCTTTATTAAACTAATTATTTTTATCTTTCTTCCTGACTGGACATGAATCTAGACCTCAATCCTCCTATTTTCCACTTCCTCCTGGTATAAGAGTTGCATGTCACCATGCCCTGCCTGCTTCTTTCACTGAAATGAAGTCTTGTGGACTTTTCTTCTTGGGCTGGCCTGGAATCACAGTCCTCCTGACCTCAGCCACCCATGCAATTAGGACCCAGGCATGCTCCACCATGCCCAGCAATAAATTGAGAAAGGGTTCCTGGACTGACCTCAAATCATAATCCTTCCAATCTCAGCCTCTCAAGTAGTTAGAACTACAAGTATGAGACAAAGGCACTGAGCTTGTGCTAATGTTTGTATAAAGTTTAAGATTTTGGATTGAAAAGTTCATTCTCTTCCCATGGAGTCCAGTTGTTCCAATATGGTATGTTCTGCTGAATTACCTTTGCACTTTGGTCAAAAACATTTATGAACTGATAATTTTATAACCGATATGTCTTTTTCTGAATTCCCTATTGACCCATGTGTTTACTACTTTAATACCACTGTGTCTTACATACTATAGAGTTTTCTGTAAGTCTTAGAATTTAGTGTCTCATGTAACTGTAACCCCTCTGTACAGTATTTTCACAATAAAAACTTATTAAAAAAAAGAAGTTAGTGTGCTTCTTTCCACAATATCCTTTTGTTAAATGGTCTTGACTAGTCTAATTCCTTTGACTTCCTGTTTTAGAATCAGAATATCTGTATCCAAGAAAACTCTTGAATAGAACTTATATCCTATATCATGGAGAACTGACACATTGGATATACTGAATTTACCAATCTGTAAACACTGCATGTGTCTCCGTGCATGTGCATATGTACATACATACATACATACATACATATACATATATATATATATACATATATATATATATATATATATATATAAAATTTTGAGGGGAGGTAAGGTAAGGTATATACCTAAGTATTGGGAACTATTATAAATAGTTTTTCCAGTTTCAGTTTCCAACTGTTCACTGCTAGTCTAAAACATAAGATTTTGGGCTTCGGACTTTGTATTCTATAATTCTATTAAATATGATACTCTTAAGCATTTTCATATAGGTTCCTTGGGATTTTCTACATAGAAATTATGTTATTACAGGTAGAAGAGTTTTATTTTTCCCTCTTCAATGTCTTTTATCTACTTTTCTTGCCTTCACATGGCAGTAATCAGGATTTCTAGTGTGATACTGAGTAGGAGTAGTGAGATTGGACATACCAGCATGATCTGTTCCTAGTTTGATAAGATTTTTTAAAAATCATGAATGATGTCAATTTTGGCTGAATGTCTTTTTCTATATCAACTGATGATTACATAATTTTTCTTTTTATTCTGCTAAGGCGATGTGGATTAGCTGATTTCCAAATAATGTATGAATCAGGCTTCCATATGGGAAATTCCTCTTGGTTTTATATTTATACATATATATTTTGGTTGAAATGGAGTTTGAACTTCAGGCCCTGTGTTCATTCAGCTTGTTTGCTTGGCTGGCATTCTATCAATTGAGCCATGTTTCTAGTCAAGCTTTTTGCTATATATTTTGTAGATGAATGTCTCAGACTTTTCTGCCTGGGCCATGAACAGATTTCTTTCTCACTCAGCCTCCTGAGTAGCTATAATGATAGAAGCAAGCCACCATTGACTTGTATTTTTCTTTTTATACATTGTTGGATTTAATCTGCTAAAACTTGGTAAAGATTTTTTTTCTATGTTCATGAAGCTTAGTTTTTTGTACTGACTGCAGTAATCATACTACCTCTCAACTCATATGAGAGGTATTCTTTCTCCTATGTTTGTGGGCCTTGGATTTATATTTTATATTTATATTTTAAAATACAAAACCAAATTCTTTGAAATAAGGATTTATTGGGCTGGGAATGTAGCTCAGTGGTAGATGCTTAAATTAGCATGTAGGTTTAATTCCCAGCACCATAAAAAGAAAAATAATATATCATAATTAGATTATCTCCTGGTAGTCTGTGGCTTTCAAGGAATTAGTTCATTTTATCTAAGCTGTCCCAATTAAGCAATTATTTGCAGTGACAGGGATTAAACCCAAGGGATTTAGATATGCTAAGCAAGTGCTTTTCCACTGAACTACATTCAAAGCTATTTTTTAGCCAGGTGCTTGTGGCTAATGCCTATAATCCTAGCTACTCAGGAGGCTGAGATCTGAGGATCAAGGTTCGAAGCCAGCTTTAGCAGGAAAGTCCATGAAACTCTAATCTCCAATAAACTACTCAGAAATGCCCGAAGTAGGGCTGTGGCTCAAATGGTAGAGAGCTAGTCTTGCACACAAAGCAGCTTAGGAACAGCACCCAGGTCCAGAGTTCAAGCCCTAGGACCAGCAAAAAAAATAAAAGCTATTTTTGTTATCCTTTAAAGTTATTTTCCCCTCTTGGGTGGTGTTTAAGTGATTTCTCCATCTTTGTACTCTTTCCTTTTTAAAAAAAGCAGTATGACAAGACATCTGTCAATCTTATTGGCCTTTATAAATAATCTGTTTTTGGTCTCATTGTTTTTATCTATTTTCCTCTTCCAATTTTATTGATTTCCACTCTATTATTTCCTGTTTTCTGTGTGTTTTGTATTTATTTTTTCCTTTTTCAGTTTCTTTGGAGGAAGCTTGATTTTCAACTTTTTTCCCTAGTTAAATTATTTGATATAAATTTCCCTACACCATTATGTTAGCTACAATTTGGTACTTTCATTTAGTTGAATATATTTTCTAATTTTCCTAATTCTCTTTGAAACTTCCTTTTGGACCCATGGAAGTGTGTTGTTTGATTTGTAAGCAGTTGAATACTTTAAAGTCAATTTCTAGCTTTATTCCAGTATGGTCGGATAATAAAATGCTTTGCGGGCACCTAATTCCTTTAGATTTTCCATGGTCATTTTAAGCACCAGCATATGGCTTACCTGTTCAAAAGCATATGTATTCTGATAGATAGAATATTCTATATCACCCAGATCCAGTTGATTTGGGGTTTGATTATAACTCCATCTTTAGTCTACCCTATTGTTATATTTTCAAAAAGATACATGTTGAATCAGGCTGGTATCTTAGTCCTGTAATCCTTGCTACTTAGAATACTGAGATCATGGTTCAAAGCCAACCTAGGCACAAAAGCCCATGAGACTCTTATCTCCAGTGATCCAGCACCCAGTCAAGTTCCCTTCTTGATCAAGCTAGCATTCACTGTTAGCTTCCTTGGGGTTTCAGCTCCATACAGCACAACAGGCAGGATGGCATATGCTTACTCTACCTTGCTCCAAAATGGAGCCACACTAGAGACTGTTAATTCTGTTGTACAGCCAAGGTGGAAAATCTCTGTAAATATGTATGTGGACATTATACACCAAGGGTTGGCAAACATTTTATATATGTGGCCACACAGTAAATATTTTAGGCTTTGTAGCAAGCTGCCACAACATGCAATCTATTCAATTCTGCTGCTGTTGTTTGAAAATAGCCATAAATAGGAATAAGTAGGCAGGTATGGTTAGCTTATAATAATTTCATTTAATAAAACAAGTATCAGGCTGGAGTTGGTTCACAAAACATAGTTTGCTCCCTTGTTGCATATTACAAATAGCAAGGCTGGTTAAATGGCAGTTTATTTCTGGACTTTTGTCCATCTTTAGATGGAAGAATCCAAATAACAAGGGTTACTGCTTTGCTTTTTCATTGCTAGTCCCATGACGTTTAAGAACTGTAGTACACATTCAGCTTTGATCTGGTTATGTTCTTTGATTCTTCAGTCTCTTCTCTAGAGCTACAACGAAGTTTTAACAACTAAAAATTCAAGGAGACGATCAATTTTATATCTTTTACATTAAACTGGAAAAACTGCAGTGAAAAAGCTGGGCTTGGTGGCTTATACAGATTATCCTACACCCGTGAGGTGGAAGCAGGGGGTTTCTGAAGTCAGGGCCAATTGGGTTGCATGGTAAGACTCTATCATGAAACAAAACAAAACAATTCTACAGCTCTCTGACCCTTTCAAAAAGAAAAAAAACTTTATTAACCATTTTCTTTAGGATATGTTAATACAGAGGTTATTAAAAAAATAGTTACCCAACTTGTTTTTCCAGAATGTTCTAGACTTGGAGATGTGGTAAGGTTGTTGTCCTTTTACTCACCTGGTTTCCTGCCACAGAGATAGAAGGCCAGTCTGTCAGTCAGCTCATACTGTATTTCTACAAGGCGCTCTGCCAGTTCATGGTGCCCTCCTTGCCTACCAAAAAAAAAATCCACAAAGATCCATTGAAACTGCACTAGTCACTGACTTTTGAGTATAACAGTACAAAGCCATCCCAAGACACCTGAGCACTTTATAAAACATGACGTTTTAGAATAATCAACCTTTGTCTGTAAGGTAGATTGTTAAGATCTACTTTGAGTTCCACCTTTGCAAACTGGGTTGTTAGTTTTGTTTTCTTTTTCCACCCTTAGTATCCTCTTTCCTTTATTCTATTCCAAATAGAATACTTAATAAATTTAAGGACTATGAGAGGGATAAAGACAAACCTCATTTAAGTGAGAAAATAAAATTAATGGTTGAGGGTAGAGATTCCCCAAAGTTAATGAATGTTTCCAGAAAGATACAACATCCAGGCCTCATCCTTCTGGAAAGCTGAGGATATGGCCCAGTAGTAGATCACTTGCCTAACATGCACAAAGCCTAGCACTAAAAAAATTAGACATACACCCAAAAGGTGTCACCTTACTCCTTGGAAATTCTCAATCAGGATTAAATGGGCCCAGGCAGCAAGATTTTAAATGCTCCTTCCCCCAGGTAATTCTGGTGTGCCCCATCAAGTTTCGGTGACAGTCTAGAAACCTCTTCAAGGACTAATTCAGGAAGAAATAGGCCAACCTACTGAAGAATTCATATATGCAGCTTTTACTTCTTTATCTTCAATATCCATGACAAAAAATATTGTCTTTTCTCACTGATGAAATAAATATTTGACTGTTTCCCTCCTCCACCCCCCTGCTTTTTTTGGTGCTAGTATCTGGACTTGGAATTCAGGGCTTGGAGTTCTCATTTGGCTTTCATTTTTCTTTTCTTTTTTTTTTTTTTGGTAGGTCGTGGGGCTTGAACTCGGCTTGGGTGCTGTCCCTGCGCTCTTTAGCTCAAGGCGAGCACTCTACTGCTTGAGCCACAGTGCCACATCTGGTTTTCTAATGGTTTATTGGAGATAAGAGTCTTATGGACCTTCCTGCCGGGGCTAGTTTTGAACTGTGATCTTCAGATCTCAGCCTCCTGAGTAGCTAGGATTATAGGCGTGAGACACCAGCGCCTGGTTCATTTGGCTTTCTTGCTCACAGCTCTCTACCACTTGAAACATATCTCCAGCCCTCAAAATATTTATGTCTCTCAGGATCTTTTAGTAACATAGCATATAAATTATTATAAGAGACTACCGTGGGCTTTCTTCTTCAAAGACCAAATCTACTTTCAGTTAGTTTCTCTTCTCACCATTCAAGGCACTGCAGACTACCTTCCAATTTAGTGCACATCTTTTTAACATACACATGGTGTTTTCCCTCTTTCTCTCTCTCTCTCTCTCTGCAATACTGATGTTTGAACTCAGGGCCTCAGGCTTTCCGGGGAGGTAGCTCTATCACTTGAGCCATGCTCTAAGCCTTTTTTGCTTGTGTTATTTTTACAGGTAGTCTTGAGTTTTTAGTCTGGGGACAACCTCAGACTTCAATATGTTTATTTACAGCCTCCCTCAAATAGCTGGTACCACAGATAAATACCACCACCATGACCAGGTTATTGGCTGAAATAGGGTCTGACTAATCTATTGCTCAGTCTGGCTTCCAGTTGTAACCCTCTAGATCTCCATCTCCTAAGATAGCTGAGATTACATGTATGAACCATCTCACACAGCAGGTTTTTTTGCTTTTGTTTTTTACATTTGTACATCATGACCCCATCTCACAAACAAAAACACATACCGTAATGAAAGAGGTGATATCGATCAAGACACATTGTACTTACAAAATAATTTGTTGAATGATAACCCCTTTGTACAATTATTTTTTTGTTGTTGTTGTCAGTTGTGGGGCTTGAACTCAGGACCTGAGTGCTGTCCCTGGGCTTCTTTGTGCTCAAGGCTAGCTCCACTTCCAGTTTTTGAGGGGTTAACTGGAGATAATAGTCTCATGGGGACTTTTCTGCCTGGGCCAGCTTTGAACCATGATCCTAAGATCTCAGCCTCCTAAGTAGTTAGGATTATAGGTGAGAGCCACCAGCACCCAGCTGTATAACTACTTAAAAAAATATAAACAAATTTTCAAAAAATTTAAAGAACTGTACAGAGAGTATCCATATGTTTGCCATAAAAAATTTATAGTTAACCAGGTGCTGGTAGCTCACGCCTGTAATCCTAGCTACTCAGGAGGCTGAGATCTAAGGATCATGATTTGAAGCCAGCCCAGGCAGGAAAGTCTGTGAAACTCTTATCTCTAGTTAACCACCAGAAAACTGGAAGTGGAGCTATGGTTCAAAGTGGTAGAGCACTAGCCCTGAGAAGAAAGGCTCAGAGACAGTGCCCAGGCCCCCAGTTCAAGCCCCATGACTGCAAAAATAAATAAATAAATAAATACCGTTTACCTTTTAGTACACTAAGCACATCTATCCATACCAATGACTAATTTAAAATTTACTTCATTAAAAAAAAATGATAACTAGGGCTGGTACCATCGCACACTTGTAATCTAGATACTCAGGAGGCTGAGAGCTCAGGATTACAGTTTGAAGTCCACTACAGCAGGAAAGTCTGAGACTTTTATCTCCAACTAACCTCAAAAAAGCCATTATTGGTGCTAAATTTGGGCTAGGTGTGGTGCTCCACCCTGTAATCACAGCTAGTTAGAAGTCAGTGATCAGGAGGACAGAAATTGGAGCCAGCTCAAAGCAAAATGTTAGCAAGATCCCATCTCAACCAATAAGTCAATGTGGTGGTACACAAAAATGGTCTTAGCTAGGCAGGATTTAAGTAGGTGGATCACAGTCCAAGGCTGGCAAAACCACAAAACTCTATCAGAAAGATAAAGAAAAACAGATGGTGATATGACTAAAGTAATAGATCAAGAAGTAGAATAAACATGTGGCATTGAATTCAAACCCTGTTGCCGCACAAAAAAAGAGAGTAGGCATTGTTTTTTGCAGCATTAGGGCTGGAAGCCAAAGCCTTATGTATGCTAGCCAAACACTTACCATTGATCTTACACCACCAGACCTGTGTAATTCTTGATAACTGACTTATACTCCAACTACAAATCAAACACCATTGTGCCATAGAGGATCAAATAAAAAAATGGGAAGCTAAACACAATGGTTTATGATTCTACCTTTCTGTGACTTTGCCAGGCAAACCTTAATAATTTGAAATGTCTTCATTTGCAAAATAAAATATAAATTTTTAAAGGGGTTAAATATTAATCACAATTTAATGACTTAACAGTAAGTTATATCCACTGTAAAAGAGAGAAGTGGCAAGAATATTGGCCTCCTACCTTGCATAATCAACAGGAGTTTTCCCACTAGAATCCTGGGTGCCTGGGTCAGCGCCATATACTGCCAACAACTCAGCTTGTAAAATCTGTCCTGCTTTTGAGGCGACATGGAGTGGGGTGTTTCCTTTTTCCTAAGGATCATTAATTGAAAGTCAAAATTAAAAGGCAACCCCTCTGTACAGTATTTTCACAATAAAAATATATTAAAAAAATTAAAAGGCAAATCACACAATCCGGGAGCTGGCGGCTCATGTTTATAATCCTAGATCTTCAGGAGGCTGAGATCTAAGGATTGCGGTTCCAAGCTTGCCCTGGCAGGAATGATTGTGAGCCTCTTTTCTCCAATTACCAAAAACTGAAAGTAGAGCCGTGGTTCAAAGTGGTAGAGCACTAGTCTGAGTAGAAAAGCTCAGGGACGGTTCCCAGGTCCTGAGTTCAAGTCCCATGACCGACAAAAATAAATAAATAACAAATTACATAAACTAAAGTCTACAAACACTACTCAGTTTCAATTTATTATCAGAATCAATAGGTATTTTCTTACGGGATGAAAGAAGTTGGCCTGGGCTCCTAAAGATAGCAGTCTCAGACAGGTTTCAAGATTCCCTGTTCTCACGCTTGAATGAAGTTGCTAAAATATACACAAAAAACAAACAAACAAGAGTATTTGTTAAAAGCATCAAGAATTATGTAACAGAACAGCTGGAAGCCTATTTTAATATGTTACATTATTAACACATAATCTTTATTTGGCTAAGTATAATAGATGGAACACCCTCTCTTTTGAGCATCAGGTCTTTACTACTGATAAGGAAACCAGAGCTTTGAAACTAGAGCTAATCTGCTAAAAGGCAGGACTCAGTCAAGAAAGTAGCACCATTAGAACCTAAGGGAAAAGCAGTATGAGCAACTACTAGTAACTACTCTTGAGGGACGTGAATTTTCAAACCCTATCCTCTTCAAGTTTTGTGATCTCGAGAAAGTTCTTTTTTTTTTCCCCCCCAGGGCTGAGGACCGAACCCAGGGCCTTGCGTGCACTGGGCAGGTGCCCTTCCACTGGGCTAAACCCCCAGCCCCTGAGAAAGTTCTTTAAGTTGATGAAACCTCAGTTTCCTTATCTCTAAAGTGGTGATAAAGGGCTGGGAATGTGGCTTAGTGGTAGAGTGCTTGCCTGGCATGCATGAAGCCCTGGGTTCGATTCCTCAGTACCACATACACAGAAAAAGCCAGAAGTGGCGCTGTGACTTAAGTAGTAGAGTGCTAGCCTTGAGCAAAAGAAGCTCAGGGACAGTGCCCAGGCCCTGAGTTTAAGCCCCAGGACTGGGAAAAATAAAAAATCTTCAAAGTAGTGATAAAAAAAAAATCTATCAACAGGGCTATTGTAAGAATTCAATAATAAAGAGCCTACCATTGAGCCTAGTACATAGAAAATGCTCAGTGAGGGCTGGGAAGGTGGCTCAGTGGTAGAGCATTTGCCTTGCATGCCTGAGGCCCTGGGTTCGATTCCTCAGCACCACATA